TGTTTCGGTGGTAGCTCAAGATCTTCGATCAAAGGCTCGTTGTTGTTTGCTTGGAGCTTAGAGCTGAAGAACTCCTGGACCAACCCGATTTGCAAAGCGAGAGAGTCATTGGTGATGCGAGGGTAGGGAGCGGGCGGAGGGAAGAGAGTGACAGCTTGGGCAGCACTGCCAAAAACCATCAGTATCAAGCAAGCAATAGTCGATACAATAAGAGAAACATACCTGGTGTTCTGTGCCTGCGCAGCGTTGTACATTCTGTTCTGCAAGAGATGGAGTGGCACGCTGAGTGTGGCCAGACCAAACTCCTTGTCCAGCCCCAGTTCCTTAAACCCGAAGAAGTCCTCATCGATATCTTCTGCAAAGTCACCGCCGATGAACTGTTCACTGCCATCCTGGAATGCGTTGGAGCCATCCTCCCCGCCATCTGCAAGCGCAGGTCGCAGGAGCTCGGACAGCAGCGAGCGCAGCCGGTCATGAGCTGTCGAAAGCTTCGTTCCGAGCCGCTCCACATCGTCCTTAATGTACGACTCCAAAGACTCTACATCGATGCCAACAGATGAGAGAGTATGTAGTACGATCTCCGGCTCCGTAAACGCTCGCTTCCACTGAGCTGTACCCGTAGCCTCGGTCGCGTCGGTAGTCGGGACTTTCGGGGATTCCATGTACGACTTCAAGGTTTCGCCGATCTTCTGGAAGAAGTCGGAAGCAATATCAGTTACTGCATCCAGGGCCGAAGGCTGATACTCCTCAAAGCCAGTGTGGTAGAAGATCTTCGCCACGGAACGCTGCAAGGCCGCCTTGCAAACCCAAGGAGCAATGACAGGACCCCCGTCATTCATCACATGCGGTGACACATCCTGCTCGACGAAGGGTTCCGGCTGGTATTTCTGGAACTGATTCTGGTACATCTTTGGAGAGTCAGACAAGGAAATTCGTGATTCGGGAGATCGCTTACCTGAGACTGCAGTTGCATCTGCTTGACGATGCCGATCTTCGAGCAGACCTTTCGCGTTTCCTGCATTTGGCGCATGTTTGCATCCATTTTGCGGGCCAGCTTACTATCTGGTTGAGTGAATGAGCCTTGCGGGAGGATCCTCAAAAACTCTTCGGACGCATCCACAATGTTGCCGTCTGAGTCTTCCTTCCAGAGTAGCTGAGAGGGTAGATCGGGAACCCCTGACATGACATCGTAATAGTCGGGGATCACTCGATCCTCATCCACTTCAATGCCTTCCGCGAGCGTTTCGCCCGCGGCGCCAGGTTCCATGCCTTGTGCTGTTGACTCGCGCGCCTTGTCGTTCTCTGCAAGATTATGCTTTTGGTTTCTGATCCACCGCCGCATGCCCGCTTTAGTACGGAGCAATGCTGGCTCATCGGAGTTGAGCTTGTCACCTTTGAAGAGACGATGCCTCTCTGCGGCAATGAGAGCGCGATCCTTCTTCGTGACCTGTTTCCATACTTTGTATTCGGGGTCTTCGGAATCCACACCCGACGCGGGCAATGCGCTCAGCGCAGTACTTGTCGGGACTAACCCATCAATGTCCATAGCATCACCCTGACTTCCAGGTACACCAGAGCTGACGCCCGCAGGGTCAGACGGCGTTTGCGTGCCAGGCGGCGGCGTTACAAGCCCGTTCTGAGTCCCCTCCATCACAACATCAGAATCCGAACGGACCGGCCCCGGAGGCTGAGAGCTCTGACCAGGGGGCTCCGATCCGCTGGGAGTATTTCTAACAGGCGCAGTGCCTTTCTTCGATGATGACTTGCCGGGGGCCTTGCGACCACGGGACGACATGATCGGTTCGTCGTCACTCTCTTCGGCGCCATCCATTTCGGCCATCTGCAGTCGGCGCTCTTCTGCTTCGACCTCGGCGCGGTCTCGGATGACGATGTCTGGAATCAGAGGGACGAGCTTCTCCGTCTCCTTCTTCATGTATAAAGCATGCTTGCGCAAGAAGTGTTCTGGGTTAGTATTATATTTGAAGCAATTCGACCATATTAAATTGATGTCATCGACAAATTCCTGCTTCGACTTGTATTGCAGCGCTTTCAGCTTCTTCGTCATGGTTCCTAGGTCCATCGGATGTTTGATAACTAGCGCAGGGGGTCAGCAACGAGACACACGGCGTGGTTCTTCGTCCGCCAGGGTATCTTACTTGTATAGTAGTCAGGCGCATCGCGCTTATTCACACGAGTCAAGAAGGCGCTTGAATGCTCGGTCATCGCCTTGAGCTCACTAAGAACCTTCTCTGCAGCTTCATACAGCTCTTCTTGGCCAATCTTGTCCTCACTAGCCCACTTACTACGGTTCTTACGAACCTCGCTCATCAGGCTTCGGAGTTCCGCGTCGGATGCTTGGACCAAACTCCGCTTCATGTCAATTCTTGCGATCAGGTTCTTGAGGGTCAGGCTCGAGGCGCCCAGGTTGGCGCTACTCAGCGACCCATATCCATTGGAGGTTGGGTTCGCATTGTTGCCCGCATTCGCCTGGCCCGACATTTCCGCTTCTACCTGTCGCTCCGACTCTTCTAGCCGCTGCTGGTCCAACATGGCATCTCTATCATTCTCTAAAGTATAAAAGAGTGTGTGGAAACTTCTCCTAGCAGCTTCCTCGGTCGCCTTCTTATCTTCCTCTAGCTTCTTGCGGATATCCTCCAAGGTCTCCTTCTTGGGCTCCTTCTGCGCATCGGGCCCGACCGACACGGAGCCGCTGGGCGGTCGGCTGGGCGATGGGAAGCTACTAGGTAGCTGAGAGGTAGCGAGAGACTTGGGCTTGGGAGGAGATGCGGCTTCAGTATCTTCAGCGTCATCTTCGTCGTCATACTCATCGTAGTCATCGTCATCTAACTTCCTGGCGGGCTTCTTGGGGGGCGCCGGGGGCGGAGCGGGTTCGTCGGCGCGTTGGCTCTCGGGTTGGGACTCGTCGGAATCGTTCGCAGGGCGGGCATCTTCGGCAGCTTTCTGGTTGGCAAAGAGATTGTTTATTTGCGCCTCACTGCGTTTGTACAGATCCCGGAACATGGCGATGCGCGGGTCCTCGTCGCCTGCAATATCGGCATCTGATATCAGACCGCCCGCGTGAGACCCGTCGGCGTCGGCCGAAGCGCGCATCTGGGGGGTTCGCGAACCGGAAAAAGATTTGGGATAGCCATTGACAGACCGCGCATCATGGAAATCATCCGGCGGGCGCAGATGACCTGGGGGGAGCCAGGCGTGGTGGTGTCCGAGCGACATGCTCGCTCCAAGACCCCGGTTCTGGGGCGGGCGAGGGGGGCTCGTTTCTCCACGGTTCGGATCAGTTCCAGCTAGGGTACAAGGGAGTCTTTTGAGACGCTGAAAAAGACATATACATTAGGGGACAGGGGTCAGGAAATGAGGGACGATGATTTGGAGACCCCAAGTGATGAAATAGTGGGGGATTTGATGGGGGACTGAAGGGCTTCTTTATAAGGTTCTCTGCGCGAACGGATGAGATGAAGTTGGTTGCGTGAAGGCGGAACGGCGACCGCAGCTTCAGACCAACCGCGCAATTCGTTGACTCCAGCAGCAGCAAAGCTACTAGTAACAGAGTAACTAGTAACTAGTAGTAGTTGTGAAGGGAAGATATAGTAATAGTAATGAGACAAGATAACACTAATGACAAAAAGGAATGAGCCGAACGAAAAAGTGAATCCGCATTAATATTAAATAATAGAATTAAAATCAAACAAGGCGAGCCATAACCCGTTCAATGAATTGATTGAACTTGGGGAACGGGGGAACAAGCAACACTCAGCCTCGATGAGGACAAGAAAAAGACGAAGAATGGCAGGGAGTTTCCCGAGGATGTTTCAACCACAATAAACCCAGTTTCAGCCTGAGGCTGCGCCGTCTGTCTGTATCGTAAAGTAACTAACTAACTAAACCACATGACATGCCATCATCTTCATCGCTTCATCATCCAAGTCTTCCCTCTTCCGGCCTTTTTCTTTTCTCCTTCCACGACCTCCTCTCTCTACACTCCCTCCCCGTAACCATCTCCTTCCAGATCGCCCATCATGCGAATCCGATACCCTTTCGCGGGTATGTCTTTTCCCCCGATCTTCCCCATCCATTGAGCTCTTCCCACCCGTTTCCACTCTCTTCCGAAGCCAAAGTGAAGCTGTATGATACCTAATCATCCGATTACATCAAGAGCTTCACCAGCTTCCCACACCACACCAACTAATACCAAAATACCACCATAACATGCATCGCTAACACCACTCTCACCAGGCGCCTTTTTATTCCTCCTCATTCTCGCCGCCTACATTGGCCTCCTCCCGCACAGCACATCATCCACTCTTCCGTCCCAACTCCAACCCAATGACAAGTTCCTCCATGTCGTCACCTTCTTCCTCCTCTCCCTCGTCTTCTACTGGATCTTCGACACCACCCGTCGTCGCACCCTCCATTTAACCCTCCTCGTCTGCACCCTCGTCCTCGGCATCGGCTCCGAAATCATCCAAGGTCTCCTCCCCAACGGCAGGTCCTTCGATGCCTTTGACCTTCTCGCCAACATCGTCGGCAGTCTCGGCGCCGTCGGCCTTTGCGGCTGGTACCACCGGCGCATGCTCGACCGGCGACGCAAGGCGCGCTTCGGCTCCCTAGGCGGCGACGGCACAGAGAATGATGTCGAGCTCGGAGTGACGGGCCACCACAGCGACGAGGAGGAGGGTCTTGGACCCCAGGAAACAGGTGTTATGAGCCTAGAGCAGGAGGTAGATAACTGGGATGAGAACGCTGTTGATAATTGGGATGAGGAGGACGAGTCTGGAGATTTGGCCGTTGATACTTCCAAGAGGACGTCGCCCGCTGAAGATGGGAAGAAGCGGAGTGATTAAGTCGCAATCTAGCTAGCTAGCTAGCTAGGTCTCTGGTTCTTGCGCCTTGTCGCTAGCTACCTATATTCTATCATGCTTTGCACGTCTCTCGGGCCGTGAAGTCCGCTTCATTCAGCAGAATGGCATCGCTGCCCATCATGTGATTGCGACGTATACGCTTACAAGGCGTTGATGCGCTCACCACCACCACCTGTCGCTCTCTACCACGCTTACCATACACTCTCTATCTGCCAATCGCCCCTCCGCGACACCGATATAATTCCAACCCAACCTCCACATGATACGGAAGACTATTCGTAACCCCACCCGCTTCGACGATTGCTACGCTACGCAGAAAAGAACGGCAACGAAACGAAAGGAAAAAGGAAAAAGTTACCATACCTATCTATCTATTCACAGCCACTACTACAACTACTACTCTCGCTACGACCGTGTCATGACCCGACTCGTTATCTACCGGCGTTTTGAGTTGATCGTTACATTCTGTTTTGTGTTTTCTTGTTTCTCTATATCTTCTGCGTCTCTCCTCTACGAACCCTACTTATCTATCTAGCTATCTCTATTCTTACTCCTTCGGGTTCTGGTTCTGGTTTTTGCTCTATAAACCCCTCCGTGGAAATTATGATGTACATAGGATAACAGAGATGAGGAGGGAGGAGTTTTGTTTCCGTTTAATAGTATAAGAACGCTTTGTTTTATATTGAGTGGTCGATTGATCAGATGGTAGGTAGTTTTCTGGTAGGGTGTGTAAGAGAGGACCTTTCAGGGCACGTGTATGAACAGATGCATCGTTATTCATTTCCAGGCAGATCCACAAGTCCAGTATGGTACACCAGTTCTAATGCTAGGGGGGAAACAGAATGAAAGCTGAAAGACAGATAATCGCGCGGGAGTAGGCACATCAGCTTCGGGTGACAATGTTCAGGACGGTTTGCTTGTGAAAGCGTAAGCATCCTGGGCACTGGAGGAAATAAAAGCATCAGGTCGTATACTGAAACATAGTATGCAGGGTGGCGCAAAGGGCAAAAAATGCATGTTGAAGATGCAGGTCAGAACTCGTAACTAGTCATGGCAAAAAGAAAAACGACAAACAGGGCAAAAGAAAAACATCAATAGGCGATTAGAATGTTATATATGTACGAGGGAAGGTAATATAATAATGCTGTCTGAAACAGGAACCGGTCGTCCCTAGCCTCATTCGTTATCGGAAACCTCGGGGGTGCCCGACCAGCTTCGGGTGGGAGTAGATCGGTGATCTTCAGCAGGTTCGAGCTCAGGTTTGGATGACGGTCGGTAGCTGTCGTCGGTTGACAACTTGGCCATCTTCGTTGACCTCTCATCCGACTTGCGCCCGCTGGGCACGGCAGTCTTACCGAGCTTGAGATCGGTCTGCTCCCGTAGGACTTCGTATATAAATTGGAGTTGCATCTCATTATAGACCATCATCATTCGCTGCTCGCGCATTTGGTTGACCGTTTCGAAGACAGGGTCGATGTCGGGGTCAGTCGCCTCTAGTAACTGGCCGGACTCGAGCTCCTGCAAAAGATGGTCCAGCGCGATAAAGGTGCCTGTCCGGCCGACACCAGCACTGCAGTGCACAATGCGGGGATTAGTACGGGTACATTTCGAACCGGACAGTCTGATCAACTGAAGGAGCGCATCGCGGTCATCGCCCTCAGGCTTTGAATAGTCCGCCCAGCCGGCGAACAGAAAATGCCAAACAATCTTCGACTCGGTGCCGAGGGTGAGTCGAAGTTTGCGGATTTCCGAGCGAGATGTTGGATCCCATTGAGTCTCGAGCAGTGTAACATAGCCTAGAAGGTCCTCGTCGGCTTGCTGGTGGTGGTTGTCGTTCATGAACGGGTCTTGCTCACGTCGCAGGGGCATCGTGGCGTTTTCGCGGTCCAGTGGGAAGTACTGGGCACATTTCTCTCTGCCCGCCTCAAATGTCTGCGTGAGCATAACGATGACGCCTACATCCTCGCTTTCATGGAACACCATATGCCAAAAGTGGGATAGCTGGTCCGGCTTCGGTCCCTACAGAGCAGCGGATTAGCGACCAACTTTCAACGCTCAGCAGAATGTATGCGCCCACCTGCGTCGCGATATACCGTCTCTCCTCCTGCGAGACTGAGTCTTCGAGGACAATCGGCGATGCGTTAATAAAATCGCATTCGCCTTCTGGCACCCGCAAATGGATGCGGGAGTTGGCCCATGCCTGCACGTTCACGTATCGGTTCCTTGCCCTGACCTCGGGGTCTCCCTCTAGCGCCCAACGGTGTGAGGGGTCGTTGGCTAGCATCCCCTCGTGTATCCGAGTCCGCTGCATCCATTCGAGTTCCTCGAACTTTTGATGGATTTCTAGCACAGGACAGATATATTAGCCAAGCTGTAGACAATATTTAAAGAGGTGCAACACATGCAACTGCGCCAGAAACGACTGGGAAACCCAAGAAGCAGCAAGCGGGGTGAAGTGCTAGGCGGGCGCATACTGACCTAGGACCGACTGGCAGAGAAATGGAGGAACAGATTCATTATCGCGCGCTTCCAGGCCAGGATCGTCGTTCTCCGGACCATCTATAATCTCGAAGCCATCGTCATTATCCTCGGGAAGCGACCGCTTGGTCGCTTGTACGCTGGTATCGATCTTGATGGTGGGATGAGCCATCTTGGCCGCAGCGATCCTCTGGAAGGCCCGAACCTTGCCCAGGACGCCGCGCGCCTTCTTCGAGACCCGCTTCTTAGTCGCTGCGAGTTTTCGGGGACCACTGCGTAGACTGAAGGTATCGGGGGAGGGCGAGCGGGAGGTTGGGGCAGTGATGACTTCCCCCTCGATGCCGTCGGGCGGATCCTCGTGCGCGCCGTTGGGGGGATGCGGCAGGGATGATATCTGTAGCGTGGACAGATCGGGACAGCTGTGGAAGCTGCCCCTCGACGTAATATTATGCTTGGCCAGATTTCTGGATCTCACGGGAACAACGCGCGGCCGAATAGGAAGACTGCCTGGCAGTCGATAATATGGAAGATGACTCGGCCGGCAGACAAGACCCGACAGCCAACTTCTTCGTGCAGCCCACAACCCCTGCAACTTGTAGAATAAAAAAGGATTGGGTGATTATTAGAGAGGAAAGAAAAATTATGGACGAACAGGGAGAACCACCGGGTCAGTGAAAAAATGAAGTAATAACCTCGTCAACAAAATGCGACCCGGGGGAAACAGCAGGCGAGAGGGTCCGGCCAGCAGCAGGAAAAGAAGGAGAGTATTTGATGCAAGACCCCCTCGCGACACCGTTTGGCAATTGCTGTTCTCCCCGCACTCTCTCGTCTTTTTTGGTCTTCTAACCTCAGGACGTGGCCAGCAGTCCAATCAGTCAAGTCATTAAATATATTAGAAGAATAATGAGGTTGTTAAGGAGAGTGGGTTTGGACTAATAGAATAAGTATGGGTTATACAAGGAAGAGAAAAGAAGCAGAATTGGGCAGCCAAGAGAAAAATATTAGAAAAGGAGATATTTCTATGGCAGGTTGGCAGAGTTTGTATGTATCGAACAAGTAGAGATCCTTCTCATTCCTGGTAATTTTCTATTTCTTCTGATTTATTCGGGGTCCATACGGTATGAATCCCTTCAGGAGATTATTAGTATTATTATTATTTTTATTACTACTACTACTGCGCATTACGACGGCTTCCATGCTTTAGTTAAGGGTTGGGGGATGGCAGAACAATGATGTAATTCAGGAGAGCGTCTCTCAGGAACAGATAGTACAAGAACACTTGCATTCACCATTCAGAGCCATGCTCCGTCCGAGGCATGATTCAGATCTCCAGTGGTGCCTTGAGATCTTCATCCAACCGGCCATCGTCAGCCATGATGGTCGGCCTCAGGCGGTCGATCTATCCACCTTCCATCCCTTTAATGCGCCCGGATCATCGCTTTCTCCGAGACAACTTGCCGCGGGCGGAGTATCGAGTCCTTTACCTCTGATTGGTGGAGCTCCCTGTTGTGTCACCAGCCTCAGGCTTAACTCAAGTTGGTGGCTGGACCTCACTGTCGCCATTTTTCTCTCTTCAAGGGTGCAACCACGCGTTTTCTTCTTCTCCCTTTCGCTTCTCACCAGCCCCCCCACGGTGCGCTGGCTTCATCCCTTTTGCACTCAAGCTTTAGTCTAGCTTGTGTTGCCACGGATCCCACCTGATCTACGTAGTCCACACCGAAGATGTTTCGGGCGTTTCTCAAAAGCGCATTCCTGCTACGGCCTCTCGAGGTGTGTATGAGGCACTTGTGTCTGGACTCTCGCACACAACCCTCCATACTAATAGTCTTCTTCATACAGGAATGGCTTACCTCTAGGGTAGGTGTATGATCATGTCTAATCCTTGAGCTTGATGCTCATGTTGCCACGTATAGCTGCTGGCCAGCCGGTCGTTTCATAAATTGGTTGGGGGGATTCACCGCAAAGTTCATCACCTGAAGACGGGTGTCCCACTGGAAGAGGTGCATGGCCCTGACTCTGGAAAGTCTGGTATGAACTTCGCCCATACCGTGATCCGGTCATGGTAGCTGTGTAGTATCATTTGATACTAACCTGCCCCTCACTCTAGCTTCGAAGTTGAGCCAGTTCTTTGAGTACTTCAAAGAAGAGCTGAAGGACCAGATGAAAGGAAATCCCCGCAAAAAGCATTGATGAGAAGGTGGTGTTTCTTTCAACCGGGCTTTTATGACAGCCCTGCTTTTTATGACTTGTGATACCCATCAATATTCATATACTCCGTTATTTTCTGTTTCTCTGTTCGTACTGTCCATCCTGATCTGTCTACTATACCGTCTGGTATACCGGATACAGATTGGGCTGTAGCTCTTCTGCACCATGAGCTACATCCCTCATTCCATCCGGAGAACGATTACCATTGCTTCATCCGCTTTGCCTAACCGTGTATCTTTGGACTGTTGGGTTGGGCCTTGAAATGTCGAAGCGTACATATATAGTCTTAAATAGAGTCGAACGTAACCGAATATCAAACAATTAGCAAAGCCATCGCTTATATCATCCAAATCCCCTACATAGGCAGAAAAGATCTTATCCCTTGGTCATAGCCAGCCATGGCTGGGCACGACTAAAACCTTATCCCCCATGTGATGTGTACAATATCGGGAAATCCGGATGGCAGGACCTGTATGTTTCAAGGGCCGATTCCCAGGGACTCCCCGGCACGAGTGTGTGTGTCCTCGCTGCCAGGGCTACTTTATTCTTTGCGTAACCTGCATATGCAGGCGAGGTGTTACTTGTGCGACCACAGAATACAGAGGATGTGAAATACTTACATACTACAGACGCAAACACCTACGTAACCTAACCTCGTCGAAATATCCCCATCTGAGTCACTGCACATTTTCATAACTGATTACATACCAGGTAGACGGACAACTAATGCAAGCGAAGCAAAAGGAATGATAACGAACGCCTTTGACTAACCCCGATCACTAAGCAAGCAGGAGAAAAGCAAGCGAGATCACTCATCCTTGCCACGCGATCAACTGGCGGACGGAGTGGCTGCAGAGACCCGAGTCGACCCGTAATAATCTCTACCTCCTACTGGGAGGGAGGGTATGATGGGGAACGGTCTAGGCACACGCACCATTGAGGAGATATACGTAACCTCGATGAGCACACACACGCACACTGGAACCCTTCCAGACCAAGACCACTCTAAGAAGTCGTCAACCCCACGGTATGTTAATTAACAGAAATATGGAGTCTAATCAGGACAACAACGTTCCAGAGCGCCGTGTCATGTCTAGTGAGGAGTAGTAGACTAGTATGGATGGCCAGCTGGGTACTTGGTAATTAGCAGAGAGGAATCTAGAACCGTCAGATGCTGCCGATCACCCGACTCGAACTCGAAAGTGGCTAGCTAGCTAGCTAATTCTCTCTCACGGTGAGAGAGAAGATGATTATTAACTCGTCTTATGGAGAGCAGCAATCAAGTATTATTATGAAAGTGTCGGGTGGCACCCAGACTAAGGTTTATGAAGGATGAATCATTTACGAACAAGACCAGTTTGACCCTTAAGATGCAGGGTCTTTGGGGCTTAGTGATAACGCTACGGGGAAGTAGACTATGTAGTATGTACTACTAAGCCCCGTTGGTATTGCCATAAGGAAAGACAGCTCAGCAAGAAACGCTGTGGGAACGGAGTCACCGGCCCAATTGCCGCCCTGGCGTCCATTAAGCGGGCAGCTGCTGCAGTCGGGTGAGCCGGCACACGTCGATGGCCATGTTTGGAAAGATGGAAAGATTTTGTTCTGTCGGATTGAAACACGTGAGAGAGAATGTACGTATGTGCGTATTCCCAGGAAAACACCGAGGAGGTGGATGCTCGGAAACTACAGAATTTTCTTTTCTTCTTCCTTATTTTGCTATCGAACCGGAGCCACGCGGATACAATGAAAGGGACCACCCAACATCAAGAAGCATTAAAAAAATATGGAATATACACATATCCAGTCATCATAGTAAAAATGTGGGTTATTATTGTTGATTCGGTGCTGTTGTTTGTTGGTTGGTGCCGAATCTTAGGTAATTCCTCCCAAGGAACAAAGTTATTTTCTATGGTACGGTCATTAACCGGTACCTAAAGACCCATGGTACATGCCTTAAAATAGCAACGTGTGTACCAGAATTACTCTAATGGATTATGGAACTCATTAATTTTGTAAGATCGCTTTGTGATCTACCATACTATGGACTTGCTTGCTCCTCACTCTAGCCGAACAACCCGGAGCACTACTGCTCAGGTACCTCACTAGGAGGTTAGAGTGGGATCGGGACGACCCAGAAAGCACCGTATTGGGCATAGTAATCCGAGACAAGGGCCGTGACAGCCAACGGGCAGAAAAAGAAGAATACCCATAGTACCCATAATACTCAGTACCAAATACTGGGCGGAAAGTCAGGCGCCCCAAAAATGCAAGAACAAAACACTAAAAAAACACAAAAAACACAAAACGAGGGGCGCCCCTGTGCAGAACTGTCTCAACTGGCAGCCGCTGACTGGCTGGCATGTCGTTCAGCGCCGACGCTAGAGAGCGCCGACTCCTGGGCACGACGCTGGGATTGGTGTTGCGCAGCCAAAAGTCCCGTTGGTGGCCCCCCCCAATTGAGCCGGCCAGTGCCCTTCCACCATCCCGTTCCCTTCGTCTCCCTCTCTTCGTCTCTCTTTCATCTCCAGTCCCTTTTCATCTCCATCCCGCCTCCTTACGCTCTTTCCTGTCCTTCTTACCACACACACCACCACCCACAACTCTATATCTGCAGTCACTCGTTAACCCCTCCTTGTGAATCATATCTCCCGACAGCCTCTTTTTGTCCTCCCTCCTGCTGTCCTCCCGATTCTCAACCCTCCAAACGATCGTTTCCTACCATCTGGACACCCCCGTGTCGCGTTGGAATTGTAATCTCGCCTCCCCGGTGTCGGTTCTCTCCACTGTCCTCCTGCCTCATCCGTGTTGGCTCTGGAAGCCTCGAAAGAACGCCTTGATTACCCCGAGTCCGACTGATCGATCTCATCCGACGTGCCCACCATGCGAGCCGCTCGTCTTTCGTTCCTCCTCTACTCCTTGTCCCTCGTGGCTGTCGTCGCTGGCCAGAGCGCTGCAGTCACGAGTGTAGGCAACGCCGTCACCTCTGCCGCTGCCGCCGCTACCACAGAGGCCCCTTCTACCACATCCAGTGAATCATCCTCGACGTCTGAGTCCTCTACCTCGACTTCGGAGAGCACTTCGACCACCAGTGAACCTACAACTACGTCGTCTACTTCGGAAGAGACTACTTCCACTACCAACAAGCAACCCCAACAAACCACCCAAGCGCAACAGACAACATCATCCAATAACAACAACAACAATGCGCAGACAACTGCAGTCACTACAACGGACAAGAACGGCAAGACCACCGTCGAAAGCACTACCCAGCAGACCACCGCAACCCCGGTTGTGCAGACGGTCACGACTATCGAGACCATCAGCGGAACCCCCGTCCAAACTACTCTCACCACTACGTCGACTCCCGCCAGTGCTGACTCCACGGGCAGTCCTGGTCTGAGCGGCACTTCGTCTGATAACTCCAACAGCAGCTCTGGTCTCTCGTCCTCTCAGAAGAAGATCATCATTGGTGTCGTCGTCGGTGTGGGTGGTGCAATCATCGTCGGTGCCCTTGCCGTTGTTGGCTGGAGGATCCACGCTCGCAAGGCTGCGCAAGACAACGATGAGGCTGCTGATCTCATGAGCGGCACGGCAGTCGGTGCGGGTGCTCGCGAGAAGGCGCCCAGCCCGGGTGCTGGTGGCACGCCCTTCAAGACCACGCTTGACCAGTATCACAACCCTGGACCTGTCAACGCTGCATCAAACTTCTAAGCCGACCCGGCATCTTGTCCATGATACGAACACATCACCCTTTTCCAATGTTTATACTGCGGTAACGAACAGGGAAGGCATATGGTCTGGTCTGATACCGTTCTTGAGACTGTAAATTTGTACGATTATGACGCAGTTATTGTTGGCGCTTGTGGAGAGGAAATCCTCTGATTTGTTGTTTCTTCACTGCTATCTTGGGTTGTTTGCTTTGCATTCAAGAAGCTACCGCTCTTTTCTCGCTCTGATAGACCATACGTCGGGTCTTTACCGATATCACGCTCCTTTTACTTAGCACAGCGATTTTGTCCTAGCATTTATGGTTGGTCGATTTAGTTTGATTCCCCCCTCGAGCATTTGATTTCTTTTCTGGCGGAGCGGTGAGCGGCACAGTGTCCCGTCTCTGTCTCTGCTGTGGATTGCAGATCCCCGATCTCAGCCTTCAAAAGCTTTCGATTGTATGTATTTAATCAAAAAAAAATGACTTGAGAAGGATACAGCAGTAAATGTATTGTCAATGATGTAATGGCACTCTTGCTAGATAAGATCTGCTGCATGCGTAATTATCTGATTGCCATGCAGGTAATACATCGTAGGCTTCGTAGCGTCCGATGATCCAAGCCTTTTCACCATGTTTGATACAGACGACCTCGGTAGGAAATAGGAGAATCACTGGCATGTCTTGATCCGCACTATATGCCGGTAGTGAACAGTGCGCCAGGAACATGCGATCCTGCAAGGTGAGTTTATCGTCAACTTGCATTATCTAAACCCGATCCAGGTCTATCTCTCTCTCACCCACACACAACACCAATGAGCAGCAACTCTACCTCTATATTGTAACTACTCAGAATAAGGAGTATGCGCGATTAGACACCCCAATACCCATTCCTCGATCTACGACAACACCAGTGGCACAACAGCACGATCAGCTATAAGGCCTTCGGAATATATCTATCATGATAATGTACGATGCAAATGACCGCATAATCATATTGTCCGTCTACATATGATGCGTCGCACAGTCAATGATGCCGTGGTGCCTGACAGCCTGAGGAATGTTATATATCCCGAAGGAGACTAGTGAGCACGTGGCGTCGTGTCGGACGCGCTCGCGAATCCCTGCCGCCTTTCACGTTGTTTCGCCGCGGCCGCTGCTGGTCTCTCCGGACAACCATCTCTACTATCGTCAACTGGATAGATACGTCTGAGTCGCAATTGTGGTTACTGAACAACTAACCTGTTTCTATCTGTGTCGCATGGGTGACGATTATAAGGAATCCAATTTCCAATCACAACGACAGTCATACTACGTCCACGCGTTACGAATTGACATACCCTTCATCCACCCATCCGGCTGAATCGCATTACTCCAATCAATCAGCTACAGACATTCACAATGATGTTCGCTCCCCTCCCCATGCAGCAACAACCAGGGTCATCACCACCACCGCCTCAACAACAGCACCAACAATACACACCCACCCGACCATCCCCCCTCTCACCACGTCGCCTCACAAACACCCCCTCAGCAACACCCAACATCTTCGCCGCCACCTCCAACAACACCCAATTCAACATCCCCTCCAGCCCCTTCACACTTCCAACACCCACGAAACTCCCCTCCATATCGGCATCAGCACCACCATCCCCGACGCCACCACAGCAACAACAACAATCACACCACCAATTCTCAAGAAGACAAAGAAACATCCAGTCCTCCCCCAACTATGCCCACCGCTACGCCAACAACATCTCCAACCCCATGACCAAGCACTTAAAATCAAGTGCGTCCCCCTCGGCACGCCGGAATGTGTTTCTGAATCGCGTGAAGCGGGATCGGGATGATGGGCGGTTCGGGGATCGCGGCGAGCAGTTGGTGCTTATGGAGCATGTGGCGGAGGAGAAGAGGTGGGGGGAGGTGATGAGGCGGAGGGCTGAGGAGATGGTGGGTGTTGTTGAGGAAGAAGAGGAAGAGGGGTATGCCAATGGATATGGTATGTTCGACAGCTTCCTTGTCTGAGACGTCCTGTGATGATGTGACGACGCTAACGATTGCTCGCTCAGATGATGTAGACGCATACGCTCTAGACGAGTATCTGCAAGAACAAGCGGCCGAGATGGAACGGTTGGAGTATTTGAACCAGCAGTCACAGCCACAGCAGCAGCAGCAGCAGCAGCATCACCACGGAGTGTTTGATTCAGGTGGTCCTGCTGGTAGGGGTAATGGTGGGATGAACATCTCATTTAGTGACGAAGAAGAATACGACGATCTGTTCATGGATCTAGCGGGGCATGATGGTGATCCTGATTTTCCTGGGTCAAGTGGGGGGTTTGCGCATAGTCAGGATATGGATATGTCGTGATTGTTGCCTTATCTGTGCGTGTATCTGTATTGGATATGGATATGGGAGTGTCTTGTCGCGGGTCGATGGGACTGCTGTCACTACTAGTATCACATTGGTTTTTACGGACAGGGCAAAAGCATGGTCTGGTCTGGTTTGATATGGTCTGGCGTTGAATGAGGTACATGGATTGGGTCTATAATGATATAGGGTACTACTACCTACCCACCCACTCGGTTATCTAGATAGTAGTTAATTAGCAGATCATCCAGTTTAGTCAATCCTCAGATAGTAATCTAGTCTATCCACATACTTAATATCCTGTGTTCTGCTTAGCATGCAGATGTGCCACTGCTCACTAGGAGTGTTGGTAAGCTACTATATGCATAATGCTCTGACAAACTATCCTCATAGAGATTTTCCATCTCTAATTTCAAGACGGCCATTCGCCCATTGAAAAAACCCCCCAAGCCTAATGGATCAGTTCATGGTCATGTATCGCAAGGAGGTTCCCGCCCCATAGTATGTTTAGTACTCGTTCCGTTCCGTCTCTGATATCCCTGATCCCCCACAACCCCAACCTCCACCCCGCCCAGTACTCAAAAGCACAATCATTACCTATCGTCCAAGCTCCCTCAACCACATCTATACTAAGTTTGGCTTATTTAAATTAGAGAAGATTCCTTCGTCCTAATCAGGACAAGCTGGACTCAACTTGAGGTATCAGAATCAGATACTATACTCCTCCGAGTGATCGGATACCTTCGAAGCCAATCATTACTCACAAACCCTTCACCTCAACTTACTCTTGCAAAGGGATGTTGGTTGATTGCTTACTTGCTTCAACTCTTTTCTACAAAGGTGGACACACACGGAAGATCATTTCTCCTTCTCCTCCTCTGATTAATGACATCCTTTGATTGAATCCGAATCCAAGAACTACTTCATTCTCTATTCATAAGTATCAAAGAAGCCAGAGCAAACATTCACCATAGTAATCCCATCATCATAGCACACCATCCCCTTTTAACCGCGGGAATCCTCCCTCTCATCATGGACGCCTCAACCACAGCAGATATCCGCGACCGCATCCTCCACCAAATTCACGGACTTCTCTTCGAGGTCCTCCGAGAGTCTGAAGACACAGGCCCGATGCGAATACTCGGAGATACTCCAAATAGCATACTCGATCCTAAAGATTATTTGGCATCTATACGCCCCTTTGTTACAGAAATCCAGAATTGCATCCATGAATTTGATGCAAATAGCAAGACTTGTTTCATTGCAGTCAATATCTACCCTGGAAAGCACTCCTACTTTGTGGTGGACCTAAATAATACCGAGTATGACTATCAGACTGCTCATGAATGCAAGACATTTCCGGTACCTGTTCATATCCTACGCCTATCAAAAAGAAACCCCCCCAGGATTTATAGGAAACGGGAGCTGGATGGACAACTTGCTGAGACTCTTAGAATCATGCATAATGGTCACGGTCAAGATCCTCTACCTTTGGTTGACAATTACTGTGATCCAAATAGACAATACAGCAACCCTCGAAGCCTCAAAACGTTGATGTCCAGGGTGTTCAGATTTGCGCATTGACAATGCTGTTCACGGGGTCTGATGCATCTGTTGATAGTAGTAATACTGTTTGTAGTCAGCAGTAACATAGTTGGTTCTGCTCTATTGGGTTTATGGACTATGCGTCTTAGCCCTAGGGTTGGGAGACTACGGGATTTGAAAGTACTATCATAGGTGGTGAAGCTGTTTTTCAAACAGGTTCTGTACGATAGTAGACATTGAGTCTGGGTCAACAGGAATACTATCCCTCAGCCCAAGCGTGTATATATATTAGAATTCTACTAGTACTAGTACTCATCATTGCTGCGGACAATCAGGCATACCACCCGCGCCAGCACCACCACCCGGACCCTTAAGATCCTCCATCCAAGGAGCAGAAATCAGCTCATCAGGCGGGTTACCCGCAGCTTGCATCTAAACCCCCCGTTAGTACTGAACAGCACGACAAATAATAGCAATGGGGGAGAGGGGGCTTACCTCCTGCATCTTCTCCCACACGTACTCCCTACACTTCGGATCCTCATCCGAATACCCCTTCTCCTCGAACTTACTCACAATCTGCCTGACCACTCCAGCCTGCCTCTCATACCTCGCCATATCCTCATCAGACACCTTCCCCTTGCCCTTATTCTCCTTGATCCACGGCCCGAACTTCGTATCAAGCTCCTTGATCGGCTCGTACAAGATCTCCTTATTCGACAATTGCTCCATCATGCCCATGAACATCTTCGTCAGATCCCCCTCGTCACCACCTTCGCCTGACGATGCCCCCGCCTCGATCGCCTTGATGAGTTGCGCTACCAGATCATCCGACATGTCGTCCTCCGAGGCTGCCGCTGTGGCTTTGTCGCCGGATTCTTTCATCCGTTCGATTGTGCGCTGGATGGTGTCATTGAAGGTTTCAGGTGCTGCGGTGCCACTTGTTGATGGCGTTGATGATGCTGCTGCTGGTGCTGGTGCTGCTGAAGAGCCCGCGGTGGCGGCCGTAGTGCTGTTATCGTCGTCGCCTTTCATCATGACGTCTCCGACGAGCTGTTTCAGAAAGTCGGATGGTGAGACTCCGCTTTCCTCGAGGATCTTGGCGAATGCCTCGGCGTCTTTGTCGAGGCCGCCGTCGTTGGTATCGGTGGCGCCAGCCGCAGCCGCAGCCGCAGCCGCAGCAGCGTCGTTGCTGGCGCCGCCACCACCGCCCAACATGTTCGCCATATCTTGTTCGAGTTGGCGGAGGAAGGCCTCCTCATCGAAGTCATCGGGGGCAGATGGTTGCGCGGCATCAGGTTTAGCGGGGGCGGGGGCTGGTTTTGGTTTGAAGTCGTCGAGGACCTCTGTTATATTACATTGTTTGTTAGATAACAATATATCTGGGAATTGAAAAGAGAGAGTGTGTAGAAGTACCATCTAATTCATCAAATTCCGATTCGTCGTCATCGTCATCGTCATCGTTGTTCGTGCGCTGTTGTTGCGCGGGGTTCTCTGCTGAGGGGGCATTGTTCGGGGCAGTTGTCGTGGCGGACTTCTGCTGGTCATCCGCAGAAACCTTTTCGGGAATCTGTGTGGGAGCAGCAGAATTCTCAGGCTGGGGGGTTGCGCCAATGTTGGCGGAGGGAGCCGATGAGGAGGCCATGACTGATGATCGCAATAGCCGAGGGGGGAGGAGATTGGGGGGAAGAGGGGGAAATGATGCGGCGGGTTCAACTTGCAGTTGCTGGATTGCGGCGGGCGGAGACGGATTGCATCGGCGCGCAGGTGAGCCTCTTGTGTTGTTCCTTTTCGAAGGTGCAGGGGACAGAAAGTCTGACGGGCGGGATTAGATTAGATGGGGTGGTTGACGATGGGGAGCTGAGGATGTAGTTTTTTTTTTGGTCTTCATGTGAAAAAGAAATGAAGGGAATGAATAATCAGTCAGTCCATCTTTTCGGTGGTGGGGGAAGAGCCGATGGAAAGCCGATCGCCGCGGTTATTTTTTGGTTTTGATTTCTCGGAGTTGCGCTCAGGGGATGGTGGATGGGGGATGGAAGGATAGCAATCATTTTTTGGAGGAATTGTATTGACATTTGGAATTGTAATGAATGGATGTGATTTTGTATAGGAGTCGAATGAAAGAAAGGGTACGGAGTCGAGTAGTAGGGAGTGAGTGAGTATAGTTAGACAAGACCTGGGAATGACATCAGGGTCCAGGCGCTGTCACCGGCAGATCTGATGGAGATTCGATTACTAGTTAACATGTTCGAACAACTGACTCGGTCTGGATTCAGATTTACTCCGATAGGGATACGTTCTAATTTACGGAGTACAGAAGGGCTACGCTCTCTCCATTCTGATATTCATCTTCCAAACACAGCAACAGCAGCAGTAGCAGCAGCAGCAAGCGACAACAAATCCAAGTCTGCCAAGAAGGATCTGGTCAATAGTTGCTGCTGGTCATCGGTAGTCGCCGCAAGTCCACCCAGCAACAGCAACAGTACAACAGGTACAGGCACTGGATTTCCTTCCGATCAGCCCATCATCCTCAGATGATCCCGTGGCGGATCCTCGTGATGTCAAGTCACAGTCACTTTGCCTTTTTCTTCCTGAGGCGGAGTTTCGGAGCGACGTACGATGACGGGACATAGGCGAGGCCCTGGATGTGGTTGGCTGGCGGAGACCTCCTTCATCGGCAGTCTCCTAATACTAGGGTACTTACTACTGTGTATATCCCACAAGTAGTATCTAGTATTATTAGTGTCTTCTGTCTAGTCTGGCTGTCCTGCAGGTACATCCTGGGTTAGTTGGTTTGGTATGAGTTGAGGGGGAATGGAAACCGGAAGTTCGGCTGTCGGATCAGGTGCTCTCATTGTATACCCAAAGCATACAGAAGGGAGTCTCTTCTAGTCCGACTGTTCTATAAGCAGACATTGCCAAGGACTGTCATCCAACTGGTTATCCTCGGGGTTCCGAACAGACCAGACAGATCAGACTATCTTATGTACGGAGTAGTATCCAAGACTCTGAGAAGATTTCTGGGAGGATGAGAATGGCAATTTAGTCGAGATGGATTCGTGGTACCGTATGGTCATCATGCCGTATTATGCCCCCAAATGGCCACTGGTCACGGGGTCAGGGACGAAACTTTGCCGTATTCACCTTGTCCCGTTTGGGTCTGGTCTAGCTGGATCTGCGTGATTTTCCTCGCTGTTTCTTCCTCCTTCAAGGGTCCCGGGCATTTTGTACGACCTCTGTCGTAGAGTTAGACCAGAATATTCTTGACTGTCGGATTACTTCCTGCCACGGTATCTGGACCGAGGTTCAATCAATCAATCAATCATGAACCCACCGCCTTCAATAGAAAAGAGGAGTCAAAGGATAGAAGGGGAACCTGGTGTGTGTCCACGCAAGACCCCCGAGTTCGTACGACAGGAGGACAAGGAATCCGCCCCAGCTGAACCACGGAAAACTTTGTCTTGACCTGCCGGAACATCTCCGCGGCATGATGAAGATATTAACAACGTGCCCACCAGAAAGGGGCAGGGAAGTCTGCTCATGACTTGTCGATAGGAGAAAAGACAGGCATCTACTTTATCGCCTGCAATAGATACTACACAGTTCTGGTCCAGACTGAGCTAGCTGGAACCGATGCAACAATGGCATTGCTTTCAAGGTTGCTCGCATCCACACCCCAGTAGCCACTTCCGAGAGAAGCGGAAAGGAATAAAAAAGGACAACGACACGTTCTCCTGCTCTCCACTCCGTTTCGGAGCCTGCATCGCCTGGTGGACGGACCACCACCAGCACTACCAGAGGAGTAAGCTCGTTCGAATAGGGCTTAAGTGCTAACTTGGACCACGGAGGCAGTGACGAGTTTGACGACTCACCCTGGGCGGATCTTCGGCTGGGTCTGACCTTGCAGTGGATCTCGCTCAAGTTGGTGCCGCGGCCGAGGAAAACCGCTCCTAGCAAGGAGGGAAGAATTGCATCGAGGACCTGAATGGACAGAAAAGCGAAAGAGAGTGCCAGTGTATGTGAGAAAGGTGAGAGGAGAGGGGAGGGAGGCGGGTGGGGGGTTGTAACTGGGCAATGAGGGGAGAGTGGCTCTTGTGATGTTGGATGGACAAAACTAAAGCAGGGGCAGGGAAGAATGCGTAGAACTACTACTAGAACTACTAGAAGAAACAGAAACCGGACGGGCGCGAGAGAACATCAGTTGTTTAAAAGCAGCAAAAAGTAAAGACCAGACGAGGCGTCGAAAAAGTAGTGTAAAGTCAAAAAGAGTTTTGACCAGCGGCGGCGAAACCGAAGCTCGTTCCGTTCGGTCCATTTTCCCCTCTCACACTCATTGCACCGTCTCGCGTGAGTGGATGGAGGGAGTGGATGGGGATGATGGGCTGGATTTTTCCCCTGGGAAAGTCTCTGCCTTGACCTAAAAGGAAAGTTCGAAGAGAAGCCAAAAGAAAAATAAAATAAAATTCTTTTTTATTTTTTTTCCTTTCCTTCTGCTGTCCCCATTAAATATTATTTTTGCCCACTCTTTGCTCGAATTTTCCAACCCACCAGGCTTGGACCAAGAGAAGAAGGCCCTTATTCGACCTTTTCTTTCCCTTTAATAACATCCCCGTTCTTTTTAGTAAATAATTTTACCTCACATCTTTCCCACTCTCACCTTCCCACCCTTCCCCTCTTACTGTCCTTCGCGCTTCTTTCCTACTTTCCCTCCGAATCTGCTGGCTATCTGGGTATTCCATCATCAATTTCCTTTATGTCACCTCTTCCGCTGGCCTCCTTGCGACCCTTTGCCAGCCCTCGCACGTCCCTTTCTGCCGCCCAGCCGCGCGTTTCCTGCGTCTGAATTATCAGATTCCATAACCCCGCCGGCTAACTTTTTTACCTGCTGTGTATTCTATTACCATTTTGTCTTTCGTGATCGTTCACCGCGTCTATTTTGTGTGAGGGGGAAATTAAGTCCGCTGTCTTGTTAGCCCGGTCTTTGGGAGAGAGACAGACAAAAGAGAAGAGAAGAAGAAGAGGCTTTTGATATTCGATCCCGGCCGTCGTCATCTGCCTTTTTTTCTTTTTCTGTTTTTGTTCCCTTTTCTTTCCTTGCTAATTTTATAATATCCCACACCCCCGGATTTCTTTCTTGTTGGGTGCGTCATTCTCCCTCCACCAAGCACGCAAGGGGGGATTTCCCATAACCGACCTGTCTTTTGGGCAATCCGGACAGGCAACAAGAACGGCCAGCAGACAAAGAAAAGAACGAGGCTAAATTCCCATCCCCCCTTCCTCATACATAGCCAAATCCAATGGTCTCCATGGTTGAGACAAGCAATTCCACACAAAATGACAACCCGGCCACTGAGCCGGTTGTCCCCAAGACCGAGCCGTTGCCTGAAGGCTCGATCAGCTCGGCGGTGTCAACGCCTGAGGCCGAGGGGGAGATTCTGATGCAAGATGTGACCCAGACTCAGAAGCGCAAAGGAGGAAGAAAACCAGTACGTAAGAACTCTTCCAGGGTGGCTGCCCTCAACTCTGTTTTTTTGTTGTTTTACCCCGGATCCAGATCGACCGACCCTTTTGGCTTTTTATACCTCGTGGTGGTCGTTGCTTGTTTTTCTCTTATCTCATTTCTATTACCTTTATCTATCTATCATCACATCCATCACGTCTTTTGGTGTTCATCCAGCATCATCACTGGCTGTGCTGTTGGTGCCTATCGCTGCTCCTCCCCCAGTGATTTGTCCCTGCGTGCCAGTCCGGGGCCCCGCACTGCGTTTATTATTATCATTTATCATTGCGATTGTTCATCCCTTATCGTCCTGTCATATCCCTCCATTCTTGCTGTCCCCTTGACTACTACTTATCTCCTCTGCACCTTATTACTCCCTTCCCCTCTTCAGCCTTTATCGATCTTGTTATCTATCTGGACCCTTGATCCCATCCCTTCCCCGGCATGAAGCTAACAGCCGCCGTCAGATCTATGCTACCTCGGAGGAGCGGAAGCAACGCAACCGCCAGGCCCAAGCCGCCTTCCGTGAGCGTCGCACAGAGTACATCCGCCAGCTCGAGTCCACCATTAAGCGCAATGAAGACTCCCTGCAGACCCTTCAGCAGAATCATCGTAGCGCCGCTGATGAATGCTTGATGCTGCGCTACAAGAACTCCTTGCTCGAACGTATCTTGCTCGAAAAAGGTTGGTCTCTCCCGTTCGCATACCCAACTGCAAGCCTGCAAGCCCCCTTCCTGATAAGCGCCCTCGGGGCGATCCTTGTCCCATACGTGAGATACTGACCGACCGTAGGAATCGATGTGCAAGCAGAGCTGCGACTCAAGGCCGGGGCCCCTGGCGCGGGCGCCGCTAAGCCCACCCCAATGGCAGCGAAGCCTCCTTCCACCCTGGAGCGTGCTGCCGTAAACCGAACCTCGGCTCAACGGCATCCTGGCATCGCTCCCAAGGAGCCCTTCGGCATGGCTCAACATCGTGATGGTGCGTATGGTATTCCGTCGCCACAGTTCCAGGCCACGCCTCCATCCCATGTCTCCTCTCCGTCCCACGCCAAGTCCCCCGGTTTCCCCTTCCAGGGAGCCATGTCGCCGGTTGGGGTGGATCCCCAGGCCCAGCAGCGCTCGCAGATGCTGTCGCACTCGCGAAATATCAGCCAAACCTCGCCGCCGATGAGCATCGGCCAGCCGGAGTCGACCGACCCAAAGGCCGCCATGCCGGGTGGTACGAATCCCCGAGCTCCCCGCGTCCCCTCCGCGTACTACCCATCGCCATTCCAGAAGCACTATGACCAACTGGGTAAGCTAACTCCACTGTCGCATTGTTGTTTTCTTCCAGGTCCGTGGTGGTATTGAACCCTTGGTTAATGTCCGCATAGAACAGGAGTACGATGCCCAGGCCGACATGATTGATGAGGAACATGATTCCACCGTGGGTGCCTCGCCCTACGTCTCCGGCTACAACAATGCCGCATCTGTGCCGGCGGGCTCTCACCCCATGGGGGCGCATAATCTCAACCAATACACCCAACATGCGGGAGAGGGAGCTAATGGCGCATACAATAATGCGAACCACCTCATGGGGAACTATGAACCTATGCTGGATGCCGATCCATTTGGATTGAGTGCTAGCATGCATTTCCAGACTCCTTTCAGTTACGAGCAGAATAATACCCGCCATTAACCCGTTTGTTTCTTGTTTTGTAATCTCACATCCGGCACTTACTTCCCTCTTTCGGTTCGAGGGATACCACGGTCGGAAGAGAGAGACACGCTTGACGGATTTCCTTCATAGCTTTCTTCTATGACTGGAAGACAAAAGTTGAAACTTTGAAGCATTGCCTGGCGTTTGCGGTTGATACCATTTGTTTATATTGGTTCGCTTGCTGTTCTGCTGTTGCTGTGGCGCTTTTGATTGATTGACGCCTTTGAAACTGGAAAAAAAGCGGTTGGCTGTTTGTTCCTTTGAGCGCGAAATGAGCGGAGGAAAGAAGGGTTAAAAGGGAAAGAAAAAAGACGCGATAAAAGTTGGAACATGGTTCTTTGTGTACATGCATGACTGGTATAATGGGCCCGACGGCGACTGCGGTGCAGTTCGAATCGGGTCGCACTTCTTACTCTCAGCTCTTGCGGACATAGCTATATGATGTTTTTCTTTTCTTGCTATGGTGATGGTGATGATTTGGGCTGCAGTGAAACGGTGGCTTGCATGTGTATTTCTTGCTGGTCTGGGTTATGTTGCATCCCTGCGGCATTGCATTCTATTCTATTCATCTTCATGAATCATTTTATTACTTCTCTGCTTCTACTTATATTCCTCGGTTCTATTTGCTGCTACTTTCTTCTTCTGGAGATACTATGTGGATAAGTTCCTTCTTGGGAGAGCTCTGAGAGCTTGGGGGAGGTATCTACTCGAATAGGGAAGTAACTAGAGTTGGCAGGTGACCAGCTAGTACGGAGCTCGGCAATTGGGGGGAAAGCTACAACGGTCTGGGGAGGGAGAGAGAGAAAGAGGAGAGAGGAATGAGTAGTGACGTATGACAAAAGAGGGGAATGGAATTGGGATGGCAGTGATCTACAGATCACCCCCAGAATGCTGTAGGGGAAGAGGAGCGAAAAAAAGCAACATCCAACCATGCTACATACTGTCGAGCGTAAGCCGAACTGAAGGCAGCGATGCAGAGCATCATCTCAGCGTCATCCGCTGGTGTTTTACCCTAAGCCCTAGCTGCTGTAGACCAATCACAGGTCGCATTCCCGGATTCGCTTAGCAGCAATTCGCACCTTACCGGATCGGGCGAGTGCAACCACAAACGTCGCCTCCATCCACCGTCCAGTCAACCCCCTTCACTCCAACCACTATCCTATCCCATCCCCCCTAAACAAAGGAGAGGTCAGATACCGTTCGTCGTCGAGGTTCCTGCCTGTGTCGACTCTCCCCGCCCGCTCCGTCGGACCGAATTGTTGCGATAAGAGAGAAGCCTTCCCCGGAAGGCCCCGCATAAAACCAGGCGTCATGGCGGAGATCCGGTCCAAGGTGCGTTGCTTTTGAGAAGAGAATGGCTCTCGTTTTCTCTCCGTCTGTTGCTGTGCGAGGGTGATGGAAATCCGCGATTTGAGGGGAGGAATGATTTCCGGGCTGGATTGATGGAAGAATGCTGGGATTGGGTTGGGAGCGCAGTTGCATTGCAACGAGCGGGGTTTTGGGGGACGGCAGGAATATTGCACAAATCTATCCTGCTCTTCACCAACTCGCACCATCACCACCACCACAGATGAGACGGGAGAGAAAGCGACAGCTTCAAAACATCCAAGGAATGCGATGGCTAACATATCATCTACTATCAACAGAACCTCTACGAGCTTCTTGGTAATTCTCGCCCTTCCCTTGTCTACCTACCTACCTACCATACCTGAGTCCCATCCTGCACTTTGCACTACCTATCGTGTTTTGACTTGCCTTGGTCTCTCTTTTCGCATGTCGTCGATCCATCTACACTTCGAATTCGTGAAGGCATTACATCATTTTCTAACCTCGAGCGTGCTTTTGCTCGCGCTGCGCAACTACAGGCAATGACCCTGAACTCGACCCCAACAGAGCTCCCGAGCCCCCTACGAAAGCCGTAGACAGGCCCGCTCCCCGTGTTGGCAAGCGGGACGCTCCCAAGGAGGCCCCTGCCCAGCCCCGTGAGAACAACAACTCTCGCCGTGGTGGCCGTGCCACTGGCAACGAGGCCGGTATGTATTCCCAGCTACATTGGGTTCCAACTTTTGGCAAGTCCATTCCGACTGATTCCGATCACGTTCAGCTTTCCGTGACCGCAACGCCGGCAGAAACAACAACCGTGAGAAGCCCACCGATGAGAAGGACGCCCAACGGCGCGGATTCCGCGCCCGTGAGGACCGTGGTGAGCGTGTCCGCCACGACCGCCAGTCCCGCACCGGCCAGACGTAAGCCTTTCCCTTTACCTTTTTCCTCCATGGAGATGGGCGATAAAGGAGTCTTGGGACTCGACCAAAACTGACGAACTGGATAGCGACACCCGCAAGCAGGTGAACCAGGGCTGGGGTAACCAGAGCGGCGAGAAGACCTGGGACGACGAGAAGGCCGGCGAGAACATTGCTCAGACCGATGAGACCGAGCCCCAGACCCCCGGCGAGGAGAAGCCCGAGGAGGCTGCCGACAAGTCCAAGTCCTACGCCGAGTACCTTGCCGAGAAGGCCGCCCAGGGTGACCTGAGCGCCAAGCCCGTCCGTGCTCCCAACGAGGGCACCAAGCTCGACAAGAAGTGGGCCGCCGCCAAGGAGCTCAAGCGTTCCGAGGAGGAGGATGCCTACATCAAGGGCAAGGAGGACAAGGCCAAGCGCGAGAAGCAGCGCAAGGAGAAGAACATCCTCGAGGTCGACATGCGCTTCGTTGAGGCTCCCCGCACTGGTGGCCCTGGTCCCCGTGGCCGTGGTGGCCGTGGTGGTCCCCGTGGTGGCCGTGGCGGCCGTGGCAACGGTCCCCGCTCCGAGCGCCCCGCTGCCGCTGCTGCTCCCACTGTCGCCGTCGACGAGAAGAACTTCCCCAGCCTTGGCGGCAAATAAATGCAGTTTTTCCCCTCATAAACTTGCATTTATAGGCTAGCATCCATGCATGCATGCCCATGCTTCCCTCACACCTTTTTTCTTTTCTTTCTACGCATGATCCTCACTACCATAAACCCTCCCTCCCCAACACCCCTTTTTTTCTCGCTAGCAACTTAGGTAGTCGAAATCCAGGGATCCAAATGAGATGAGAACGAAAATGAAAGTTTTGTGTGTGTGCATGAGAGAAGTGAGAGAAAAGAGTGCGTCTTGTGTGTGCTTGCATGTGTGTATGAACTTGAATCTCAAATGTGAAAACAAAAAACGATCAAGGGGAAACAGACAAAATAGGGAAAGGGTGAAACATAAAAGGAACAGAAGGAAAAGAGAGAAAAAGACACCAAAAAAATCCAAAGGTTCATCTGTGCAATATGCCTCTTTTTATCTATGGCTTTATGGGCCCTTTTCCACATATTTCTCAGTTTTATCGTACAGTTGTTTCTATGGAATGATGGAATAATTATTTCTTCCTTCTTTTCCCTGCCTCTCGACCGTTTCTGTATCTTTTTCCCCTATGACCATGTTCAAATAATTCTGTAAAAGAACAAGGTGGATGGAATACCACACCATGTAATTTTGTTGTTCTGAATGTCCATGTCCACTACTAAATGACTTAAGCCTCATCCTGCTCTGCTGGTACTACACCCTCACCCTCCCCCTTTAGGTAACTAAATTAGCCGATGTAAAGTTACTTTTGATGATAACTAAATGAATACTCAGATAACACCATGTACGAGTGAGTAGTATTCTACATTAGGCAATCAGTGCAGATAACTCTGAATTGATATCCCCGTCGATTATACTATACTACTACTGACCACCGGTATAGATCTGATAGTCCTATAGCTAAAGCATGAATAGATTCATCAAGGTTGATTACTAGTAAACTGTTGAAGCTAGGTAGATAGTAGGGTCTACTTAGTTACTATCTAGCTCCCCTCTCCTCTGCTCTGCTTAGTTTTATATGATTTTATCATTACATTAACTATGGTAGTAATTGGTAATTAGTAAGTGTAGTGACTTCTAGATTGCTAAGTTCTTCATCCCACACTTAATGTATACTTACTACTACTGCTCAAACCATACTTACTAATACTATATGATCATATAATGTGGGTATTATGTATTAACTTACTGTCCATATTTACCCAGTCCATATATACTATTATCTATCACAATTCTGGGTCATTAGACAGATTAGATATATGAATGAACTGAACTGTTCCATAACCTCCGACTTCCTGGTATTTATCCTCTTCCACCGACCACCTACCCCTCACCAACTTAGCCATCAACATCCCACTCAAAAGGAAGCTTAGCTCTCCGTGTGCTGCTCATTTATTATCGGTACTGTCGACGGCTAAATAATTAGTATTCTAGGTGGGGGCTCTAATTCAATACATAAAATTGGGGGTGGATTGTTGGGATGATTGCTACCTGTCGATTAGACAGTCTTACTTATAACGAATTATATCAGTTCGCTTCAATTCGATTCTTATCAGACATCAACGTCAACATCAGCATAAATCAAAAAGGGGACACCTGTACAAAAATGGTATCAAGTCGGTTCCTTGCTCCCCTAAATTCAACCAGTCCATTCCCGTGTGGTACAAGCAAATCAAATCGCCAAGCGCAAACCAGGAAGACAAATATAGTAGAGTAAAGCAAAGCAAAGCAAAATAAATAAGGATACCAAAAAGAAGAAGAAGAAAAGGAGGCCCAAGTCATACAAGAAAATATAAAAACGCCAACCTCTTTTGCCTTGGATCCCAATACCTTATGCACAATCTCAGAAATGAAGATAAATAAGCGGGGACTTGAATAGAAGAAGAAAAAGAACAGAATAATCCCAATGTATAATCGTGGAGGTTCGTGGTGAGCGCCATGCGCTGTCCAAATCCGATAGAAGGTATAAGAACGGTAGGGTTTGAAGAAAAAGGGTAAAGATGAAAGAATAGCCCTGCGGCGTATTGTAGTTAGAATGAAAAGAAAAAGAAGGTAAAGCAAATCAGCTACTTCCCCGGGCGTTCTGCATCATGTTTTGTTGCTGTTGCTGTTGCTGATGTTGCTGCTGCATCACCTGAGCTTGAACATGAGCAACCTGGTTGGCACGTTGCTGAATCAGCTCGCGCTCTCGTCGAACAATGTCATGAACCCAGGCTTTGGCATTCTGTTCCAGTCCCGTGGTGTACTGTCGTTGTATATGTGGTGGGAACTGAGACGGTGAACCGTACTGTGGCATCAATCGAGCCGCCATTTCTTGCCTAAGCCGTACCAATCGCTGAGTGAACAATTGCTGGTAGCGCTGTGGAGTGATGACGTTCTGTGCCAAATTTACTCCTTGCATATTTTGTGGCAGATGACCTCCATTGGCCTGAGCCGCCGCCATTAGCATTTGCTGCTGTTGAGGGTTCATATGTGGGCTGTTTTGGTGTACCTGTCCCTGTTGATTCTGTGATTGCTGGCCTTGCTGCTGTTGCGGTTGCTGCTGTTGTTGCTGTTGCTGTTGCTGCTGCTGAGCCATGTGCATCTGCGCGAGCTGCGCACGCATCAACTGAGCCTGATAGGCTTGTGGATTCGGGAACTTGGGCTGTGCCTGGAAATTCTGCTGCTGGGCTTGTAGCATCTGCTGCTGATGGGCTTGAATATTCTGCTGCGCATGTGCGTTGGCCTGCATCTGAGCTACTTGCTTTGGCGAGAACTGATTCTGTACCATATGCCCTTGCTGGGCGAGAAGTTGTTGTCTCTGCTGCAATAGCATCTGCTGTTGCTGTTGAGGTGTGAGGCCCATTCCGCCTCCCATTTGTGGTGTTCCCATCATGGTAGCCTGGTTCATCACCGGTGTTGGGGCCATCGTCGTGTGACTCGGGCTGGCGTGGCTCATACGCTGTGTTGGTGTTACATTACGCATGATAGGTGTAGCATGAGACATTGCTGGCGTTCCTTGAGTCATCTGTGGTGTCCCGTGTCGGCTCTGTCCTTGTTGGCTTCTGGAAGGTGCCATCGGATGGCTCATTACTGTAGGATGGGCGTGCTGCAATGCAGATGGCGGCCTCGGTGGGCTGCCTGCTCCCTGCATTGAAGGCGTCATGCTCATAGGAACACTTGCTTGTGCGGCCATTGTGTTGCCAACAACAGGCGAAGAAGTGTTGTGAGGTGTCTGATTACGGACCACCGGCGAAGACTGCGGCGCTTGGCTAACACCGTTAGTTTGTTGCGCCATGACATGCCGATTCTGCTGCTGCTGCTGCTGTTGCTGTTGCTGTTGTTGCTGCTGCTGCGCCGCAAGTTGCGCCTGAGCCTGCGCGGCAAAGTGCTGTCTACGAGCCTCTTCCTTAGCGTGCTCTTCATTCTGTCGCTGCTCCAGTTGGCGACGTTTTTCCCTCTCCTGCTCTTGCTGTTGTCGTTTAGCCAACTCCTGTTTCATCTTGATTTCATGTTCGCGCTTGGCCTTCTCCTCATGCTGCATACGGATATTCTCAAGCGTCTTGAACCTTGAGAATCGAGGCTCAAATGGTGCACCACCACCCGTATCATCCACAACCGCGGATTTCGGCCCTCCAGCACCACCGGAGGAGGTAGGCTCCAGTCGCTCATCCATGATGAGCATGAATCTCTCTTCCTCGGCAGCCAGCGCCTCGTCAGCAGCGAGCTCAGCCACGGTACGCTTCCTCCTCTTTGGTGAGGGTGGCGGATCGCGGTGGAGCGGGCTCTCCATGATCTTCAGCAGATCTTGCACAGCGTCGAAACTGTTGACAGGATCCAAGAAGAGAGGTGGAGCCAGTGCTCTTGTCAATCTCGCTTCACATTCCAGAAACTCCTGAGGTTCAACCAACATCCTCTGTCGTTTTGCAGGATGTCCACGTTCGGTCTGATTGGATGACCCTCCTGGAGATGGTGGAGCTGTAGACGAGGACTGCTGGGGACGCGAGGCAGCATTTGATGCCGACTGTTTCGCCGCTTTGGGATCGGGTGTAGTGGCAAGCAAAGTGAGTTCCGCTTGCAAGGAACGTGGAGTCGGGTGGAGAACGGTAGTGAAAACTCGGGGTTTTGGAGGCTGCTTGGGTTGAGCGGAATTCGATGTAGCTTCCTCTGCACGATTCTCGGAGTCGCCGGACTGCTCGCCGTTGGTTTTCGCATCGGGTTGATTTCCGGTTGGGGTTTCCTTGGCGGCCGGCTTATCGGAGTTTAATTGGGATTGTTTTGGGTAGGGCACATAAGCCGATGGTGTAACATGCTCGTTATAGTTATGAATCGAGAATGGGGTGTTATTCTCGTTGGAAGTCGGCGCAGTCGACTTCCTGGCCTGGGCTGACACCGACTTGTGATCGACCACGCGAACGATGAGGCAGCCTGTGAATTGCAGAGGTTAGCCAAGTCCACCAGACAAAGGTGAAGTTGAGGCATGTGGAAGCGTGCCTTCATAGAATCGGACGTTAGCCCGCAACAGCTCCTCCATCATATCATGGGGAACGGTTCCGGCACGAATGTGTTCGATGATGACCTTCATCTCGGAATTATAAGGGAAGCTTCCATCTTGTTGCTCGAAGCGGAAATGTGTTGGGTGAAGGTGGAGGATAAGCGAGGGCGGGCATTTGGAGAACTTCTTGAGGATGTAAGACGACGTTTTGACTATGACGCACCCGATGGTCAGTACGCAGGGGCTCCGCATGTGGATCGGGTTGAGAGCTTACCATATGGCTCGGGACACCTGTTCCCTGCGCGACGATCATTGTCAATGGATAAAGACCTCAACAATGGTTTTTGTAACCGCGCGGCCTGGTCACCGGGCTTTTGCGCTTCCTTCTTAGGTCGATTCTGAGTAGCCTTGTTCGAGCCGGCAGCCGCATTAGCCGCGCCATTGACGCCATTTGACGTCGGGCCGCCGGCGGAGCTTGCTGAAGCCGGTTGATTCGAACCGGGCAGACGTTTCGCGGAGGAGGGGGGAGAAGAAGAGGAGGATTGTTGAGACTTGACTCCGTTGACTCCGGTCTGGACGAAAGGCGGGGGCGGTCGCTTCATCTTAGGGGTATGCGAAGACGGCTTCGAAATTGCGGTCGCCATAGTCTCGGAGATGAACCGCGGCGCGATTATGGTCGCAAGCTGATAAATGCGACCTTGGGGGAACCGGATCCAGGAAGGATGAGAACAGGGCCGTGAGTCGTGGTTGATGATACAGCCGGAGCGCGAGACATGTGGGGAGCGGAGATCGGGGGCGGCACGACAACGAAATGGCCCGATCCAATGCGGACACTTGCACAAAGCGCGGGTCGCTACAGACAAAGGGTATGAAAGTCCATCGAACAGACACCTGCAAAGAAGGCAGGGGAGGCTCGGAGCGAGTGGGAAGAGTCGGTCGACGGTCGGTTGTGGCTCTGCAAAGGGAGTTTGTATGATGCCAAGCCGCGGGCGACGTGAAGGAGGTCGGGGTCACCTGACTACCGCTTTGGGTTTAGTGCCGCGCGCCTGCGACATGGAGTATTCCAGATATTATATCTATACCTAAGAGGCTACTGAAGAAGATTTGTGTTATTTCCGATTTGGGATATCATTCAGGTGATCGCTAAAATCTAATATGTTACTCTCGATACATAAAATGAAGACCAACTACTACGGTGTCATTCAATAGGTGTATGATCATCATTAATGCTACCTTGAGCTTTTCTAGGAACACCGTTCTGCATAGTTGGTATCCTTCCTATTGTCTCCAGAGGTTGTCAGGAAGTAGCCTTAGTAGAGCTGGAATCAGTAGACATTATATATGTGACCCTGTGAACCTTGGAGGACCCTTGACCCCCTTTAAGGGAGACTGCTGAAGGGGAGTGCCTTAAGTATAACTACTGCAGATAGTCAATGTGAGGTGCCGATCTTAACAGTGATGGCCGTGGTGGTGGCCTTTAGGGGCTCTGAGGAGAGTACGTTACAGAGGCAGTAAGGGACTCAGGCTAGTGGCAGCTCTTAGCAGGCATGTAAGGCGGACCTCATTAGATTTGTGTATCTAAACACCAAAGTGGCCCTATATATCACTATATAAACCGCGAAATCTCACGAAAACCCTCATCATCAATAACCATATCTCACTCGGCCCCATTCGGTTTCTGATCAAACAAAGCCCTGAAAGGTATCACAAGAGGCTGACCCATAATCGACTGAGGCGTAATGACTACCTCCTGAACACAGAAAGCAGTTTGCACACCTGCTGGCAGCTGACCAAGAGGCGGCATCAAACCAGGATGTTGGCGTAACTCCTCTATCAAATGCCTAGTGACAGGACTCCCGGACGGAACGAGCTGCCACTTCTCAATCCTCAGCTCTCTAGTTCCAGCGTTAATCGCAAGCAGAAGTACGATCCAGTATCGCCCGAAGAATGCTGAAACCACCATGTAGCATCTCGACGAAGCTTCGTTAGGGATTCCGAGACGCCTGTTTCCACGACGAGCGACGGCCAACCATCGCACTTCCCACCGCGAGGCTGCCGATTTGGAGGGAAAACGCAGGCATCAGGTTGCTTGCCCTGTGGAGAGGCAGCCGAATCGGGTAATGTAACTGCCATTCCCCAGGTGAGCTGCGTGCGTGGCACTCCCATTTCAGAACACTGGGAGTCAATGTAACGGACTATTTCTGTTGTAGGAAAGTGGTGGGGAGCACCGGCGGCTACTTTGAGGAGTCCTGTTGTTCCCATCCATGTAAATCGGACCGAGATGCCTGCTAGTAAATCGTGGTCTTCGTTTAGCTTGTCGATGGCGGCTTGTGACATGTCGGTGAGAGCTATCCATTGGTTTCCTGACCAGTTGTGCTGCTCTAGCTGGTTGTATATGGCTTGCACGGCATTTCGTAGTTCTTTCCAGGATGGGAATGGGCGTAGTTGGTAAGATGCTGGTAACCCGGTTAGGATGGTGTAGGTATCGCTGATTACGGTTGAGGTCTGTTTGAGGGGATTTAGTCAGTATTGCCACGGAGTTGTGTTAGAGGTGGGAGAGAGATATATGAGTATGAGAACAAACTAGTACTAAGGGTAGTAAGAGAGACAGGTCCAGTGGTTGAGGAAAAGAGGTCGTGGGTATATATATATATATATATATATGCTCGAAGGGCTTTGCCTAATACACGTACCATTTTCAATGTTGGATCAGCAGGAGCTGAGATCATGCAGTTGTACTCGATTGGGAATTAAACGATGAGGCAGTAGTAGTTAGAAAGGAAGTGGCCAGTTAGGCACCGAACAACCCATATCATACATACATCATGTGCCACTTAAGTGTTGACCACATATGACGAAACTTTATACAGAGTTTGTACTCCTGAGGATGTTAACTCGTAAAATCACTGCTATGTGCAAAGGCTCATTTCATTCAACATAACGCTTCCGTAGAAGCTGAGTAGACCATGCTTCGCGGTCATCATGCAATCAATATTCACACAGGGGTAACAACACAACATGAAGAGCAAATCCTCTTCATCTCATCAAGACAGGGGAATCAATAACAAGAAAAGAGAAGGTTCATCAAACAACATAAGGCACACCTATACGCAAGGCAACCGAGATGTTCAGCCAACGCTGAAACATCGACATTTCCAATACTTGACTTTAGTCTAGTCGTGCCCAGACACCCTCCGCCTCCAATCATCACCAATGCGGTGTACATCCACCACGTTGATCCGCTTGCCAATGCCAGTGACACCCTCCTTCTGCCACCATTTCTCGCCCTTGTCTGCAAGAGCAGACTCATCGTCGCTGTCAACAAGACCACCGTGACCGATCTCGCCTCCGACGACGATGACCGTATCCCGAACCCAGCCAGAGAAGAGCTTTACATGCTCTCCTGCTTCCCCGGTAAGGGACTCCTGAACATAAACTACCTCCGGCGAAAGGTGGCGAAGAAGATGCACAAACCCTGTCGCGGTGCTGAAGGGCATGATGGTGTTCTCCTTCTCCACAAGTGCCTGCGCCTGAGTGTACATCGTCTTGAACAGTGGTGTAGAGCCCTCTTCCTCATCGACCTGGCGAGATTCTGAGGGCGACTCTCCCTCGGGAAGCTCACCAGACGCAACAGCTTCTTCGGGGGCGATGTTGGAATAGGAAGAGGCAACAGACAAGTCCGGCTGAGAGGAGCTTCCCTGCTTCGGGGCGTGCTTGAGACCGGGGGCATAGATCATGATGAAGACCCTGGCCGTATCCAGGTTGACGTGTTCGGGGAGATGAGACAAAATGGACTGCGCAGAAAGTAAAAGCTCATTAGCATAACCCGCTTTAGCACATACCAAACCATCGAGACTTACCACATGCTGAGAGACAATATCATCCGGATCCACCTGCGCAGACTCCGACGAGACCACAATCGCAACAGTCCTCTTTTTCGTAGCAGACACTGGGCCGCCAACACCAACATCACGAACCGGCAACGCCCCCGTCATAGTCGGCGCAGACTGTTCCGCGCGCTGAGCTCTCGAAGCGACCTCCTCCGACCAGCGAGAATGATCCTCAAAGTCACCCCTATCTTCCTCACGAATCGAGGTCAGCGCACCACCCACGAAAGCTCCCGCGGCAGCGACTCCCGCAGCCACCTTCTTGCTAGCGCCGTCAAAGATCTGCTGAGGACTAGGAGTGCGGCGCAGCGCACCCTGCATGCGCGCCATCATGCTAGCATCGTCCCCTGGTATATCCGTAGCGGTTGAACGGGCGTAATCGTCCGCATATTCACCATGAGGGTATCCCTCGGGGGCGGGGAAGCGGTCATCGTGCGGAGGGGGAATAGTAGTATCGCGGTCATTATTGTTATTATTATCGTCATCGTCCTCGCTGCGTTCGCTCCAGATCCAGGCTGCAATGCTAACAGTTGCGATGCCCACGGTAACAGCAAGAGGCACCCAGTATCCCAGGACGGTCCGATTGCCAGTGGAGCTGAAGCCGGCGCCGGCTCCGACCCGCCGGCGGCGAGCATCCTGGGAGTAAGGAAAGGACATCGCGATCACACTGAACTTGGGGCTTAATAGTGGCGCATAGACTGGGATGGGTCGCGGTGAGCTGCAAGTCACATCGCAAGTCTCTGTCTTAGGGAGGGGAGAGCGGAGGGGGCTGGGGGACGTGTGGTAGTAATGATGGGGATAAGAAAGGAGGAGCTAAGTCCAAGTAGTAACTAAGTAGTAGTAGCTGCTACTTTGCCGCGCGGGCTGGGCTGGCCTCGGACGAACCGAGAAACATGTGGCTGGTGATATGACAATAGTTTCCCGCTGTTTATTGGTACCGCGGGTTGCTTTTTCTGCCAGGAGCAACCAATCGTTTCCCTTACGGTATGGTACGGAACTGCCCGGGGTAGACTACTTCTCTCTTCTTCCTCGGCCCCATGTTTTATGCTGCTTACTCCCTGTAGTTATGCAGTGCCCGCATAAGCCGATTCAGCTTGCCGTCGGCACGTGGTTCTGGGGTAGTTGAAGATCACATGACTAGTATTGGATGTTATAGAACAAGATCTTGATGTGCAACTGTTTCGCTAAAAGTCAGAAAAAAACGGTAAATGCGAAAAGAAGATCACGTCATTAAGACAGAAACTAACGACTCCCTTCTTGCCATTCACACCGTCTACCCCAGAAGCAACGACCCAATATTCGAAATAACCCCAGCAGATAATTAGCAAGGAAAAAGTATGGACGAGAAAAAAAAAAAAAAAAAAAAAACCTTTGTGTACATATGCGCAATTGAATGAAGAAAAGAATAAAATATTTCGATGAAGCACGAAAAAACATACTTATAGCGAATGCAAATGAACCCAAAGGGAAGCATAGATATCATGAAATCGTGAGTCGAAGGACAAGGCCGCATTCCTCTCACTTGCTGCACAAACCATTATTTTCAGATCATCATATTCGCCTCCAAAGGTATTTCAGATTGTTCTTCGGGCAGCAAAAAGTTGAATCCATCGAATAAATTGTGTTCAAATCCAAACCCAAATCCATATTGATTCGGGTTGCTTTCTTCTAATTCTGGAGTCTTAGTGAGTTGCCGCGCGGCCAGCTCCTCTACAGTATACTGATCCAAAGTAGCTGAAAATAGATCCGTATTATAGCCGTTCTCCGTTTCAATATTGAAAGCTAGCGAGTCTGCATCTTCCGCATTCTTACCACCTGGGGAGCCGACTTGGAGCTCATGTTCGGGATTTTCTGCGGGCGAGAGTGATCGAGGTCTGATTGCAGCAACATCATACGAGGGTTCAATAGACGGATACGTCTTGAGGCCATTCTCAAGCATGAGCAAGGAGGGATTGACGGTCGTGCATGTGATAGGTGGAGTATCACTAGTGTTGCACACAGGCGATCTTTGATTGTTATCGTTCTTCGAAGCCACTACGGGGCTGCCAGCGGAGGAAGATGCAGACTTGGAACGAGCGTTAACTGCGTCCTTGAAAGACGATTCCGATGCGTCTTCCATGGACCAAGTCTCACCATCATCGCAAGATGCAGAAGTACCATTGGCGAGTGAAGTGGGTTTGTAGGACTTCTCCGAATCTCTCCTTCGATTAATTTCTCGCGCAGATATCCTTTCAGGAGTTGAAGGTGTCGGGGAACCAAGGTCTGGTGATACATTCCTCACCATTGGCCCGGGTAGTCTGAGTTGGCGCTTCAGGTCGGCGATATGGTCGTCTTGCCTTGACCAGCTACCCTCCCCCTGCCACACGGTTAGTGATGGAACCATTTGAGTATATGAGCTTGGGGATACCGGAATAGGCTCGATAACGAAAGGATCATCTAGGGCCACGGAGGGGTCCATTCTCACAAAGGGCAGAGACACCTGGGAGGTCTGGACGTTCTGCATAGCCGTAGTGGTATTGTTCTGGGTACCTACCTGCTGTATGATATCCTCATGGCAGGGACTCTGGCTCACGCGGGAAGAGAGGCTCTGATCTGAAGAAGCAGTCCGGGCTGTATCGAAAGAAGACTGTGTCGAACCAACACTAGACTCTGTTTTCCTCATAGGTGTCTGTACTAGATTGGACGAAGTCTGTGATCCCAGGGAAGATCTCTGTGCCGAATCATAAGAACCCTGCACTGGCCTGACAACGGGCTGCGCCATCGGTGACATTGACACGTAATAGTACGGACAAATTGGCATATAGTTCGTCCCAGACCAATTGAGGAGCTCGTAGTTGTCTGGCTCCGACCGCTTCACCTCAGCCAGAGCAACATCGAAGAGATAACCAGGCCTAGTCCAGAAGTACAACTCGCCCAATGTGTTCCTCCACGATTCCATCATCAATGCATGCAAATATGGGTCTGGTGCTAAAAGCTGAGCATCAGGGGTAGGCGGCTGTAGCCATCTTAAATGGTCGCCTCGGGCATAAAATCGAATAACCCCGTGCATGAATCCGCCATCGTTCACGGGGATATCGATGATCTTTGAGAGGGCAGTGGCGGTCATCAGAACAGACTTTCGTGCCTCTTGGATCTTGCTTGGTGGATCAAGGCAGACAGAGCAGTCGTAGCCGTGTAATGCAGCTGTAGGGCGGAGGATAGTCCCAGGAGATGCCCAAGGAGGTATGGGGGTGTTCCTCCATTCAGGGTAGAAGTGATTGCACGCGAACCAGTGAACAACCAATTGGGTCATGTTGACTTGATGTTGCTACCACTGGGTTGAAGCACACGAGGGGATGTGGTTGATGAGAAGTATCCCCGGGGAAGTCAAGATCGGATGGAAGAGATGAAGTAGATTGGAAATGCGTCTAGAAGAAGTTTCCATCTCTGTATGGAGTAGAAACTCCAATGCTGGTGGGAAACAAAGAAGGCCATCTTGTGTTATCGACGCAGTGAAGGTGAGGGTCTTCAACGCAGTGAAGGACAAACAGACAATGTCCTTCTGGACATCGATGCAAATGGGCAGTTTGAATAGTAGACAAACATGTTGCTGCTGACGGTGAGGGTTAGCACTCTCCAGATCTATTTGAGAGATGGAAGTTGGGCAAACGCGGTGGATGGATAGTATGTCATGTATACCTAGAATATAATACTAGAATCAAGTGTCATCAAGTTGGCTAGTGGCTTCTAGTACTAAACTTGCAGTGTGGGCATACTAGATTCTCTGGGCTAAGCTATAGAACGATAGGAGAAGCCTTCCACACTACATATTATAGGATAATTTCAACATTTTGTACGGGATATGAGGGAATTTGTGCTTCTATCATGAAAACAACTTGTGTCCATTATGCAGACACGATGCCAGATTATATATACAGTGGATCGTGAACAAAAACATGATCAGCTACTAAATTATTTGACAATGATTGTACAAGCCTCGTATTGTGTATAAGTATAAGTCACGGTCCGCAATTTCATCCTGTTTGGAGTAGATTTGTAGAAGAAGTATAGTATATATCTATTCTAATCACATCATAGGTCACATATGCTACTCTATCGTACATCCAGGTCAGCCTCCAGAGTACTACATGATTCGTAGATACTGCAAGGTTGTCTACATCAGACAATCCTCTAGCCTATTATATTGATCCCGGAGCAATACAGTATGAACCCGATGGCCCGAGGAAAAAGAGATAAACATCCTGCATTTCTTTACTATTTTCGTTACTATAGTCCGCACAAAGGTCTACTTCAATGTACAGAATGTCCACACCGGTGAGCGAACGTGCGTGTCTCACGCTATCCCACCAATACCAGAAAAGCTGAAGCGAAATCAGCGACAAGGACCTATTATTAAGTACCAAAAATATGAGGGTCTCCACTGAGTAGCATCTCCACTCATAGCTGAAGCAAAGCCTTTCTCATTTCCAGACAAGAAACAGTCATTAAAGAAGCAGGAAGTGCCGGAATAATTGCGACACTGTGAGTGAATAAGGGCTTCGCATAGCAAATGAAGTTGCAAATCCAATCCACAAACAACATCAGATCACGCAATGGTATGATATCGACTTATCATCGCCCAGACCTGATCAGTTCATGAAGAGGGTTCCGGTTCCTCAATCCTTCTATTCCCGAAACCCGTGGACCCCGCAGTGGGTCGAGATAGGATTATTTGTCTGAGATAATCCCGTGCGCGGCATCTCAAGTCTCATTCATTGCCCTGGGCATAAGTTCACGGTCCGGCGAGCATTGGGCTAATCAATCAGCATGTTGGATGGAGATTGGAAGGATCCTTGATCTCAGCCAGCCTTGATCATTCAGAGCTCCACTTGCTGATCACCTTGGATGTTGTCGAGAATTGGAGATAAGAGCCAGGCAAGTGCAAGGATTGTAAGTTAGTATCTGTATCTGGCTTCGTCTTATCAACAATAGATTTCGAATTTTATTTTCCTTTTTCTTTCCACACTTTCCATCCAGCCACCAGACAAACTCGGTGTGGTTTCCAGAGCCGGCAGACAATCGGTAGGCCGCCGCCCCTCTTCACAGGGCGACTGCAGTAAGCACGAAGTGAGAACGTTTAGAAACCAAGGTCACCAAGAACGAATGGATTTTCTACTAACCGGGCAACACAAACCCCGCTTGGTGGCTTTCCAGTTGCAGCGACATGCAGATTCCGCTAATGGCTTAACCTCTTCTTTTTGGCCCGAGAATCATGTTGCCGCAGTTACACCACTTATTCCTTTTTCTTTTTTTCTCTCGTTCTTTTCTTTTCTTTTTTCTTTTTTTTTCTCTCTCGTAGACTTCTTACTGTACGAGTTCTTGGGTGCTCCACTGGTTCTCTTTTAGTGACTAATGATGGATAGAACAGGATGGTTAAGGAACTTCCGATCGGGGTAACAAACGGAACATCATACTTGGCGGGAAGGTCTCACTGTTGGCAATGTCTTAGTTCTTGGTTGTGGTGGTGGTGGTAGTAAATGATGGTGGTAGTGAGGGAGATACGACATCCAGTCAGATGACCGTTCCTGGCACAGGCACACGAACCACATCAAAAATTAGTTAGTAGTAGAAATCGTTACCCACGGGCACAAGCAAAAGCAACAACAACATCAACATCAACAACAACGGAAAAGTTCAGGCAAGATAGTGCGGAGTACCCTGTACCGATGTCCCCCTTTCAAGGTAGTATCTCTCTTCATCTCCCCCTACCGTGCAGCTTGCAGGGAAAAAAAGAAAAATAAACAAACACAATGTATCGTTAAACGGCTTATTATGCCAGGACAGATCAGAGGGTCACTCGGTGTTTCAGGTATATCCCGGTTACAATGCTTGCAAGAACATGCAGTAGGTCGATACTTAAATGCAGAGTGATGTGTCCTGCTTAGCTCGATCAACTAGCGGAACTAAAGGAAAAGGGAATTTCAGGCATCAAGGCTCTGCCATTTTAATTAATAAGTTATAGTATTTTCTCTAACTAGTTATAGGAAGGAGAAGGGGATCTCAATCTCGGCCGCAGAAACCAAAATGGCGGGTGGGCGGGAAATTTCCAGTTTCCTGTGACCAATCATAGATTTATCATCTATCCTGGTGAGGGATAATTGCTATGATGGTTCTTTATCCCTTGCCTTCATTTTTGACTCTTTGATGTGTTGTTGTTCTTTTTGAGGGACACCATTTGGTGATAAGCCGGTAAGTATGCGCCCGAATGATAATGCGGGATTTACAGTAGAGGTCTCAAGGGGGCCGAGGGAAATTGATTGGCTTAGTCAGTTCCTGCCTTTTTGAGGAGGTTCGGATATAAAGCCCAGGCTGACTAGTTACTACCGTCTCACCAGTTAGTAGTCACATAGGTGTAGCGATACTACTATATTATCTAGCTCCTGGATGGTTGCGACCGGACCAAAGAGGGTAAGCTGGTGAAGTACGGAGTCCGGAGTAATTGCTCCCAGTTTCTGCCTAAAAAAGTACCATGTCTGAACCCCAAGATAACACCAGGGGAAGGGAAGATCTGGGTTGGTAATGAGGCGCCGTTTCCGACCGATGACTGTCCGCAGGAGCCATGTCCGCAATGATGAACTCTTACTATTCCTTACTAGCTTGATACTATGGAGTACTATTCTGTAATACTAGCAGTCTAGGTGTAAAGGCCACCTGACATGTTTGCGTGCGAGGGATCCATGGCATGGCTAGACTACAGTAGACTAGACGGTGCTTCGGTGCTGCCCACTAGTGACTAACTACTGTATGTACTCCACACTTTGGTTTCCCCGGATATAAGGGATGCGCCGTTTGAGGCGGGATTGGAACAATCAAGCGCGCTTTGCTCGTGCTAGGTTGATAGTCCCTAGCAATGGGCCCATAGCCACCAATAGCGCAGTAGAGAGTGTTTATTTGGTGAATCAGATGGTTCAACCTCTCACCTAGACGAGAATGTTGGGTCTTATAGCCAACGTTTTGCAGACACTCAATCACTGTAGTCATCAAGAAAGAATCCGTTGGTAGGAAGCTCGTCCATCATCTCCATGGAAAAGTCAGCATCTACCACTCCGTTTGCGTCGTAGCTACCAGCATGTCCGTGCCAGGTTACTCCCCAGGTTTCAAGGCTCCTGGGCTATATATTAGAGAGGACCGTGCGGTTGGGCCATCCAATGGCAGGAACCTTGTCAGGATATCTGGCTTTTTGGACCTGGATCTCTCAACTCCGCATTTTCGCTGTCCCCGCTATTGAGATACACGTCAACGTGAGCTAGTCGAAAGCGCCACTGATTTAACACAACGGTCGACCATGACACCGCTTGGGGTAACTGACAGCCGTTGACATGGTACGGAGTGGTGCAAATAAGCATTAGGCAAACCAGTGGTCAGGCACCCCACGCAGGTTGGTCGGTCGGTTCGATGGCGTTCAGGCCAGCAATTGCAATCCCTTGACAAGTTGTATTCTATTATCATTAGCTAATTAATTGGTGGCATCATGATGGGTCTATGACATGCGGCCCTTTCGGCCTTTGCTCGGATGTTCGGATAAGCAGTCCAGCATCCAGGGACAACAAACAAATATACTATCTGTGTTAGTAGCATAACGGCACAGTATTTGACCCAGCTTTCGACAGTTCGGCATTCGTATGAACCTCGTTCCGACTGATAGATAGTCGGGTTGAAACGGTGGAACCGCGGTTGACGTCCGATGCTACGGAGGACACTCTCCGCACCGTATGATGTTCGTCTGGTTAATGTGTAGTAGTGTGTATAATTCGGACCCAAAGATATCCACTTTTTTCTTCTTTTCGTACTTTGCAATTCGATGAGCATTCAGGCAACATGCTATCGAGTCAATCCACAATTTCTCAAAATTGTTTTCCCACTGCAATTTTTTTTTCTCTCGCCGAGGTACTCTGCGATAGTGGATCCTGGAGAAATTACATTGAGGAGAGGAGCTGAAATTGATGCTTCCTGACTCGCTGACTCGTCAAGTTCAAACTTGGCCCAGGATCCATGGTTTATGCAGTGGAAGGGAAACCACGCGAATGAGAATCGCCCGTGCTTGCCAACTGCGGCATCGGAACTTACTAGGTACTGCTACTGTGAATCAACGAACTGATCTGATTACGGCAGAACGTTTCCTCTTCCTTCGCCTCTGCAAAAGGGAAGGATGGATGTTACTAGAAGCAAAGGACTCCATACACTGGTACGCCAACCATGATTTAGACTGCAGGATAGGCGATGATATGCGCCCGCCGGAGCCCGTCTGTCAAGTTAGCATGGAAGTGACGCGGTTGGAAGGCAAAGCCCCGAATAAGATGTTGAGATGGCGACGTTGCTTGTCGATCACGCGGGAACTCCTTACAGGGGATCTGCAATGGCACTAAACCGGGGATAGACGATAGATGGAGGATATATCCACTTCCTGGGAAAGTTGCAGCTCAGGCCCCGTCTTTCTCGCGACGACCGTTGAAAATCGATGCTAGTCAAGCGATGGCAGTTGCCTTTTTGTTTTTGAAACGGTCAGACTGAAATTGTAGATGATCTTGACAAGCTGGTAGCGAAGGGGCGGAATGTGGATGACAATTTGTGCTTTAGTACTTAGTACTTAGTAATGGTGGGCCTTTCCACTAAGTACAATCTCCGCATGCACCACCGAGTCAAACCGCGCCCGCGACTTATCAGCCGGCCTGATGTACCGTCCTCATCATCCGTCCATCTAGATAACCATTTGGGCTTGTGTGGTTTTGGGCCGTAGCTTACACACCCAACACGTGCGAAAGACAGTGACCCAACCTAATGGAATCTGTATGTAGGCGGTCACTCTCTTAGTGAGACCAGTCAGGCAGGGTTGCTCACCGACAGTCGCAAGTAGGTTGGAATACGGCGGATGGGATCCCTTGTGGCTAAGCTATTGAATCTTTTGCGCTCTCCTCGCTTCGCCATATTTACGTGTAGCAAATCTTCATAGTTTCAGCTTGCATGCTTATTGATTATATACGAAGTATAAGTACGCTAAGCCCGCGATTGTCGTGGTGTTTTGGAGGAGAGGCAGTGCCGAAATATATGCAACTAGGATTCGAGTGCATTGACCGATTCCAGAACCCCCCGAAGAATATAGCGCATACTTACCGACCTGCGGCATCAGTACTCCGTAGTACTAGTGAAAGTGTAGTAGAAGAGAGGCTATCACTTCCTTTCTCTGCTAACGGGCATCATTGCTTGACCAGGTGTCACCTCCGTCGTGTTAGTTCCTACTACTGTATACTAGTAATCTTCAGTAGTAAGCACAACACCTAGATCCATCATCATGATGATATATCTTCAAAGCGGGGAGAAACCGCAAACCGTGTCACTGGAAGCAAACTGGTATGTCAAATACTGGGCATTGCATTGCACTGCATCAATAGTCCAAATTCTAATCTGAAGATTGACTGTACATCAGTCTCGTTTGCAATTGACCCGGCATCTCAGATCACTCAGATCCAATTCAAGCCTATTGCGCTGTCCCCGCGCACCCAACTGGGATACACACATTCTTTCTTGGCTATAGCTTGTAGCTGACAAACAGGTGGCCATAGGGTTTGAGGATCCAGCACAACATATCCTCCGCACTGCTGTAGATGGATTCTGAATCGGTCTCAGGGATGAGAAGATGCGTTATGAGTCTCGAGTATCATCGCTGACATCATGTACACAACCGTAGTAAGAGAGTGAATAAGGTTCTCATCCATTGATTCGGGAGTCTGAGCCTTCCCATGGTACACAACCGGGAGTGTGAGAGAGTGTGTTGGAGGCTGCGACAAGACTCCGTGGAGACCGGTCACTTCAACTTCACGGCATTGAGGGGGACACGGACCGTGGCTATCGATTAGGTTACTCTTGGTGGAACAATCTGAACCGCGGAATCCCTCACGGGAGGTTTCCACTGGTTGGTTAGAGATCAGCATTCCCTGAGTCGGGACATGGCCAGGAGAGTTTTCCTGTCACTGGTAATGTAGGAAAATAAAAGATTAAATCATTAGTCTGATACATGTACTCCATACACGGTCCATAGAAGAAACTATTAGTCTAGGGTTGGGAAATTGGGGATTGGCAAATCCCCCTCAATGTTTCGTCATGCTTTGTGCGTTGGGCAAAGAATCTGGGGTGGGCGATAATCCTGGCTAAGATCATTGCAGGATAATCGTCGAGAATCTTGACTCGTTTCATCAGGAGACTCGAGAAGGGACTGGAGTTTGGTAGAATCAACTTGGCAACCTTTTTGTTGTTGCAGTCTTGGCATAGCGTTATCCTTGGATAAGAAGGATAACAATATTGACATTAATCGGTATTTTTTGCAAATGCGATCGCCTAGTCATCCGTAGTGCCAGCGGCCGAGGTACCAATGTTAGTTACCTAGCGACTGTTACTACTACTTAAGTAGTCAAATAATACAAAGTAACTAGTAGTACTGTGGTATAGTGTTAGCTAAGTGCTACTAGTTATTAGCTCTCTCCAGGCTGTTTCTCCGAGCTTCCGTGCTTGGGTTCAGTTCCTTGGAGGCAGACTCCATTTGGTAGTCATGGCGTGACAGCTAAGAAATTTAGCAGGCGTGTGGTCGCAAATCAGCTTCCAATTTGCTCGTCCGATTGGACTATTCAGGTTACTAGACAGTACTAATTGGTTCCAGTTGATTATGGTCTTATGCATTCAGCACGTTCTGTTGTTCTTCAGTTATTAATACTCTCTGGTATCAATTATCGATTTCTGCCGCACACCAAAGATCTGAAGAAAGCACCGCACCGAACTCCCAAAAAAGTAAAAACAAAAAAGAAAGCGAGAAAATAAGAAAAGAGATAAGGAGGCGGCTCTCTAGTTCTCTACTATTGCGCGTACTCGGCAGTTAATCACTAATACCAACCATTACGGAGATCTGGTAATGTAAGTAGGAGGAGGTCCTACTTTTTTTACTACTACGACTCTCCGTGTCGGAGGGCCAAATCCCCCACAACGAACATCTCCTATCGAACGAGGGAAGATGGGCCGATGAGGCGAATGCAAAGACATCTTCAGTCAGTCAGACCCGCACATCGTTTGTCCAAGTTCTCAAGTAGCGTCGCCTTCGATTACCTCGCAAGGATGGAGCCGGGTTAGGCCATTGTAGGGGGGGGGGAATGGTTGACCCGCTCCTAACGTAATATGGAGGTATTATTGGGGACGAATCGTATGTGCGGTACGATGGTTACCGAATGGCAACAACGGCCGCAGAACTACAACCCGCTAGTTTCCCAGCCTAACTTTAGTACCAGTTACCAATATGGAACCGGACTTACCGTACAGCCCCAAAGGTGTCTTAGTCTCACCCGCCTAGCTGGTCGAATCAGAGTGGTTGACTGATGCAGAAGGGGAGAAAAAGAGAAAAGAAAGAGTGGAAAGAGATTCAGGAGATGTTCGAACATTTAATCTACCTGATAATACTAGCTTCGATGATACGATAAGTGAAGGGAGGGTCACCCTCTCGAACCGAGCAAGAATGCTCGTTTACCAGACTTCCCCCCATTCCTTGTCTTTCAAGAAATACTCATAATAATAGTATGATGGAAGATATGATTATGGCGCGTTCTCCTTGTATTTTCTGGTATGACTTGCAGCTGCAATAAGAGTCATCGTAGAATACATCACCCCTACTTGGAAGTGAGCTTTTAGAGATCAGATCAGAGCCTTTGAAGATTTTGTTTCCTTATGCGTACGTTGCGTTGCATACTACGTCCATACGATACACTTCCATCGGGTTTCCCCTCGTGGATTTTTAATCGGGCGCCCCCCCAAATTGATCTCTTTACTTTTTCTGCTCCTTGTCGGTTCAACGAACTTAGATTGAACAAGAGAGCGAACGTGAGAAAGGCGAACAAAATAGAAAAATATCTAAATAAATATGAACGATTTTTAAAGATCATCACTGGATTGAACAAAAAGTGACACACGAAGGAAAGAAGAAAAAAGAATTAGAAAATAAAAAGGAAAAGTAATAAATCAAGAAATACTAACCAAAGAATCAAAAAGTAAAAAGGAAATACAGGGCACGGTTCGGGAGGGTGTGTGCCTGGCGTTCCTTCTCGCGTTCTCTGGAAAATCCCGTCCGCTTGTCTCCGCCTGTCAAGTCAGTCGGTCTCCCCTAAAGTTGAGAGCGAAAGAGAGAGAGAGTGAGAAAGTTGTAGTCGCATCCCATCATTCCCTCCCCTCTCTCTCTCTCTCAAACTCTCCCCCATTATCTCTCCCTCCTCCCTATTCTATTCCCTTTCCCTTTCTACTCCCTCCCACACCTTCAGCCCCTCTTGCTCTTCTTCCCTTTTTTTCCTTTCCCGACCCATCCTCTCTGCTTTTCTTTTTCCCATTCTTCCCGGCTCTCACCATCCCTCCTCCCTCCTCCCCTCCCCCCTGAGCGGCCCGTCTTCTGCTTGATTCAGAAGACAAGGTGCCTAGGATCTGGTTATCGTTTCCTTCTCGATCTCCTATTTGATTTTGGCATTGTTCCCTTCTTGTCTCTATTCAACATTGTTTGTTAGCTCTGCTTTTCTCCTCTTCTCTTTTCTTTTCTTGTACATGGCTCGACCGCTCTAGACAGCTTCTGCCATCCCTGGAGCCTTGTGTTCCGCACGTCGTACCTCGTCGCCAGCTCTCCTCCCTCTTCGATCGCCTGATCCCGAGCCTTTCGTTTCTTTTGTCCTCATCAGCATTCGTTTTTTACATCGACAGAACGCTTTTCCTTAATTGTTGTATCAGTATAATTCGGTGGGGACATCTTTCCTGCGAAACAGGTACGACCCCATTCCGCCGCTTGCCTTTGCACACCCCCCTTTCGAAACGGCAACCACATTCGCGTTGGAGAAACATCGGTCCTCGAGAGTTCAACTAGCCTTTGAACCGGCTTGTTCTTGTGCAATCCTGACTGACAACTGTGTGTAGTACAGACTTTCCCCCTGTTGCCTTCTTACAATCTGTCTCCTTTTTCTACCCTTGTTACCTCTCCTCCAGACTTGATCGACGTTAGGCTTGGTTCATTTAGATTGGGCGCTGCGGACAGTCGACGAGCTTACCTGTCGACACATCTCTCCCCGGAGACGCTGTCAGCTACGCGTCGGATGTTATTTCGTTCCGGGTAGTGGAGGAGAACACCATGGCTGCGTTGGTACAGACAATCCCCCAGCAAAGTGGCACGGTTTCTGTGCTTCAAACCCGACCATCCTCTTCTTCGGGCACCTTCACAACTTCCTCGCAACCCGGGCAACAACAGAATCCGCGGAACTCGACGATGTCCTGGAACCCCTATAACAACAACGGCAGTTCGGGAAACTACAGAGTGGGCCACCAGGTCGTGGCCCCCTACGCCTTCACCAGCACCCCCAACCCCTCGAATCCAACCAACATGCAAGCACGTCAGTCACTGTCCCCTCATCTGAGGCCAGAGCATCGCACATCCTCGGCCCCTTCGGTGCCTCAGGGGTCTGCAAGTCCCGCCAACGTCGGAGTCAACTCGCGTTTCGCCCATCCTGCAGCTGGTTCTGTATCCACTTCTTCCTCCAACTCCTCCGTCCATTCCTACATGTCGAAAGACGACTCGGCGATTCCGACCAGACAAATACGTACCGATGCTCCCTTGCGCCCGCTCTCCACAGTTAACCTTCCTTCACCTTCCTCTTCGAATTTCATGAACATATCCTCACCAACTGTGGCCCGTCCATCGCCCGACCGCTATCGTCGTGGAAACCGGCGACCGGAAAATGCTGCGGGCGCCCAGCCCGCTTCCACGCAGCCTAACGGACCGGCACCTGCACGCTCTGCAACGTTAGCTACAGACGATAGTGCCCTCCATATGAGTACTCCTGGCCTTGCGGGCGTGTCTCTGGATGCCCCCCGCCGCATTGGGCATGTCCGCGTGCCCAGTGCTGATGATACTACGCGCGCAGATAAGCCTCAGACAGAGTTAGCCAAGAGGTATAGGCGCCGGAGCTGGGGAAACATTGATAACGCTGGTCTCATCAATATGCAGCTACACTTGCCCACATCATCGCCGACGCCGACAGCAGGTGGCCATGACTACTTCGATCAGAGCACGCGGCCCCGATCGGCACAGTCTCATAAAGAAGTCCAGGGAAGCATTCCGTCCGCCCATTCTTCGACTTCATCTGTACGCGATGCAGGGCACAGCGAATCTGCATCATCCTCCAGTAAGAGCGGTCCCAAGACCGATGACAGCAAGCGACCGAACAAACCCTCACCGCTGTCTCAGCCGGTCGAGGTTGACTCTAAGCCCCCGACTCCCAAAGCATCCCAGCCTTCCACAACGCCAAACCCTGCTCCCACGGAAAGCCTCGCTTCCCAGCGTCTTGCCGAAATAACAAAGGGCGACCCCAAGCGACCAGGGAAATCCAGGCTGAGGAGGGCCTTCTCGTTCGGTAGCGCATCAGAGCTCCTCAAAGCATCCTCGCAAAACAAAAGGGAAGCGATGGCTGCGGAGAGGGCTCGCAGGGAATTGCTGCAAGAGGAATTGGGTCCAGAGCAGGCAGCCATAGCCGAACAACAAGAAGCAAGCGGCTTGGGCGAGAGCATTTACTCCTCACATCACCAAGGTCGTATATTCAACAGCTCTACCGACAACCTTTCCGTTTCATCGACAGCATCCTCCGCCTCTATTATGCTTCGCAAGATGGGCAAGGGAATGAAACGATCGACGCGGTCATTGGTGGGGCTTTTCCGCCCGAAATCGGTAGTGAGCACATCCTCGACCGATGGTGTGATGATTGAGCCCATGGCACCCCAGCTGTCCGTGGTCAATATTGAGGCGGAGAGGAAAAGCACAGCCGTTACTTCGGACTCGCAAGACCATCCTCTTGGTAGCACGTTGTTCTCTAAAGTGGAAACCGATGCAGCGAACGCCGTGAGCCATGAAGATGATGCCCTGGACAAGTCGCGTAAAAGCATTGTCGGAGGAGACAGGGAGCGAGCGGAGGTTCTGGCAGCCGTGAGGAAGGGCATACTGAAAAGTACGTCTTGGTTACCATGTCATGATCTTTGCTTGTGATATATCTCGTACTAACGTCCCATTTAGAGACCTACTCGGACCCGGCTAACCAGACATATGTGCTCAAATCGTCTGAAAACTTGAACGGCAATGACTCCCCGCATTCCAGCGTTCCCAGTACCCCTGAGGACCAGACACGGTCAGGCAATCGACGAACCGACGTGGTTAAGATTGCCGGCGAGGATGATTATCTCTCAGAAGGGCGGTTCCAAACCTCCGAATCTAAGAGCGCGCCTATCACCCCACAAGCTGTGATGCCGAAAAGTCTGGTGTTCAGTCCCCGGATCCAGTTCCACGAGACATGGCCGAGCGGGGAGTACGACCGACGCGGTGACATCGCCACGTGCAACCGGTTGACTCCCC